ATCTCAAGTTCATTTTTAAATATGATATGAAGTAAAAGGCCCAACTTCATTCCTTTACATGTGGTTATCCAGTTGTCTCAGCACCATTGGTTGAAGCTTCTTCTTTTTGCATTGAATGGTCATAGTGCCTACGTAGAGAATCAGCTGACTTTTAATATTAGATTCCTTTGATCCTATAGGTCTATTTTTTAAATAATTTTTTTGGTTATTTTTAGAGACAGGGTTTCTCTTTGTAACAGTCCTGGCTGTCCTGGAACTCTGGCCTCGAACTCACAGAGATCCGCCTGCCTCTGCCTTCCAGGTGCTAGGATTAAAGGCTGTGCCACCACCACCCTACTCTATAGGTCTATTCTTAAACCAGTACCACAACTATTTTTGAGTACTGTGGTTTTGTACACCGTTTTTCTTTTTCTTTTTGGTTTTTCAAAACAGGGTTTCTCTGTGTAGCTCTGGCTGTCCTGGAACTCACTCTGTAGACCAGGATGATCTCAAACTCACAGAGATCTCACCTGTCTCTGCCTCCCGATGCTGGGATTAAAGGTGTGTACCACCACTACCCGGCTCTGTACAAAGTTTTAAAATCAGAAAGTATGGGTCCTCTGACTGTTCTTATTTTTTAGCTATTTATTTATTTATTTGCTATGCATACAATGTTCTGTCTGCATGTATACCTGCCTGCCAAAAGAGGGAACCAGATCTCATTACAGATGGTTATAAGCCACTATGTGGTTGCTGAGAACTCAGGACCTCTCTAAGAGCAGCCAGTGTTCTTAACCGCTGAGCCATCCCTCCAGCCCTGACTGTTCTTTCTCAAGGTTGTTTTGGCTCCTGAGGGATCTCTGTAATTCCATAGGGATTTTTAGGACAGGGTTTTCATTTATGCAAAAAAGGTCACTGGGGTTTGGGTAGGGATTACACAGCATCCCTACAGAATCTATAGATTGTGTTGGTGATGTCATTTTACCATCAAACCTTCTGATCATGAACAAAGGATGTCTTATTTACTATTTACTCTCTACAACAGTGTTTTGTAGTTTTTCCATCTCATGACATAGCCACCTCCCAAACACCCCATCTACTAATACCATTACTTTGCGCGTTAGGATTTCAACATATCAATTTGGGGGATAACACTGGACCCAATGTATGTTGGGGGGAGTTCCCAGGTATTTCTATTTTGTTGAGTGTCTTAAAAAAAGCAAATAAACCACATGAGTACATGTTTGGTTTTTCTGCACCATTGCTTATGACCATGGCAACCCCCACTTTGTGTTATTAGTATGGGGTAGTGTATTGACCACTGTGCTATGTTGAAATAGTCCTGCATTATGTAAACATCATTTCACTGTGTGTATCTACTGTATCTGGTACTGTTACACTGCGCACAGTCCCTTCCCTCCCCACTCTCCTTCACTGTCTCCCCACAGTGTCCTTAACTCTTCCAGTCATTTCTACTTTCATGGCATGTTTACATCTGTGAGGTTATGCACTCTATGAAATTAGGAACCACAAAGGAGAAGAATCATTTGATGTTGTCTTTCTGAGGCTGGCTTAGCTGCTTTATAGGAGTTCCTATAAAGCATCCCTTTTCCTGAGAAAACTATGTAACCTTGTTCTTGGTGACAGAAAAAGTCCATTGTGTATACACACACACATTTAACATCCATTCCTCCATTGTTGCACACATAGGTTGGTTCCATAACTCAGTTATTATGTATAGTGCTGCAGGAAACGCTGATGGGCACGTATCTCTGTCACATTAAACCTCCACACATTCTTTGGATAAATTCCAAACACTCAGACTCATCATCATTCTGTAAGTTCTGGCCAGCCCAGTACGTGTACTATGTTTATGTTTATTAACAAATTTCTGCACTCTATCTTATATTTTTGAGTAGTTCCAATAAGTACAAGTCTAGGTAGGCACTTGTTTTCTTATAGCACATTCAAGAATTTATCCTGGGCTGGAGAGATGGCTCAGAGGTTAAGAGCACCAACTGCTCTTCCAGAGGTCCTGAGTTCAATTCCCAGCATCCACACGGTGGCTCACAACATCTGTAATGAGATCTGGCACCCTATTCTGTGTACATAATAAATAAATATTAAAAAAAAAAAGGAATTTATTCTGTTGTTTTCTCATGCCCTATCTTTCTAAGAACATGGCAGCTCTTCCCCTTACTGCTCATGCGGATATGCCTACTCTTTTATTCGGGGCCAAGTATTAAGATTCTTCCTCTTCCGTTTTCAGCATTTTTGAATCTACTTAATTCAGCTGTTCTTCGGCTTCTGCTGTCCTAACACTTACATATCAATGCTTCTCAGTTCTCACGAGTTTCTAGTTATTAAGTCAAAGATCAGACTGCTTCGAAGCAGTTTTTAGGGATGAGGAGATCTGTCAGTCGGTAAAGTACTTGCTTTACAAGCGTGAGGACCTGACTTCCATCCCTAGAATTATGTAAGACATCTGTGCTCAGTGGCACACACTTGTAATACCAGCACTGGGCTGGGGGTAGAGACAGGCGAATCCTTGGGGCTCCCTGCCCAGACAGTTCAGATCTTGACAAGCTCCAGGCCAATGAGAGACTTTGTCTCAAAAATCAAGGTGGATGGCACCTGAGGAATGACGCCTGACGCTGACCTCTGGCCTCCACGTGCACATGCCACATAAGCAGGCACACCCCTGCACACCTGTGTACCCACGTGCACATGCATATGCACACACAAACATACATATAAAAAAAGCAGTTTTTAGACTCTTGGAAAATGGAGCTGAGAGTCCGGGGTTTCTATATTCTTCAGTGTTGTTAATCCTCAAGTAATGTCTTGCTACATTCTTTCTGCCCTCGCCTTCTGGGGCTCTTCTACGGTAGCTCCTGTGTTTCTTGGTTCGATTTTATCTCTCCTTGCTGCACCATAGGTACCTTCTTCAGATCCTTCATTACACGGAAATTTCAATTGAATAGGAGAGGTTTTTTTTTCATAGACATTTCATATACATCACTGGGATTAAAGGCATTTGCCACCCAAGTTCAGATGTTTTGTTTGGGGATGGGGTTTCATTCTGTAGCCCAGGCTAGCTGGGAACTTACTAGACATCCTAAGATGGCCTCAAACTCATGGTAATTCTTTTATGTCAGCCTCCAGAGTGGAGAGTTTACAGGCATGAGCCACCACAACCTGGCTTTACAGTGGGTTTGGAAGTCTAGGAATTCACTCAAAGCATTTCATCTGCCTTTAATGATGGCACCATCAATTCAGAAACACTTTAAAATTCATGGTTTGAGGGTGTTTGGAGACCACTCAGGTCATGTGAACACGATGCTATCTCCAGTCTTCTACGAGACAAACTTGCAGGCATGCCTGTGAGGGAGTTTAGAGACTGTGTTAACTAAGGTGGGAAGACCCAGTCAAAATGTGGGCAGCATGGCTCCATGGGCTGTGGTCTCGAATGAAATTGAGGAAGTGAGCCGAGTGAATACCACCAGTCATCTCTCTCTGACTGTGACTGGAATGTGACCAGCTAACACCTGCCTTCTCCACCATGATGCTCTGCACCCTCAGACTGTGAGCCAAATTAAACCGTTCCTTCCTCAGCCTGCTTTTGGGACAGCATTAAGAGTAACTAATAGAGACTGGGAACCACACAAGCAGCCTGTGGCTAAAGGTTTCTGGGGACTCCCCTTCAGGCCTTGTACTTTTCAGTGTGAAGCCAAGTTTGCTGGCAGGCCCCAGGGCCTAGGAATAAGTGGTAAATCTGTCACTTAGAACTTGTAAATGAGCATGTGGGGGCGTCTTCTGCTGGATTAAAATGATACTAATTGGTGAGATTGTTTAGTGGTTAAGAGCACTTGCTGCTCTTGCAGAGGACCCAGATTTGATTCCCAGAATCCACACGGTATGCCACAACCATCTGTTGTAACTCTAGTTCCAGGGGATCTGACACCATCTTCTGGACTCAGAGGGGCACCAGGCATACATGTGGTTCACTTTCATACAAGTAAACATTCATATACATAAAAATAAATAATGTTATTAACAAATACATCTTTATGAAGCGTAATATGTTTTGCTTTTTGCATTGTATAATAATTAAATCAAGATAGTTAATACATTTTTCACTTCAGATTTTTTTCATGTGCATGATGAGAAATTTAAGATCTATTTTAGCTATTAGAGTTTTTAAAAAGTTTTCTTTAATTAGTTCATTGTCCAAGGTGGTAGGAATTTTTTTTTTCCCAGAGGTGAGGACCAAACCCAGGGCCTTGCGCTTGCTAGTCAAGCGCTTTACCACTGAGCTAAATCCCCAACCCCAGAATTTTTTAATCGATTTATTTTCTTTGTTCTAGTCTTTCACATTTGAATACTTTAAAATTCACATTACCAGCCAGAAGTGGGGGGATGGGGTGGTGAAGAGGTGGTGCGCGCCATTAATCCCAGCACTCAGGAAGCAGAGGCAGGCAGATCTCTGAGTTTGAGGCCATCCTGGTCTACAGAGTTGTTCCAGGGGAGTCAGATTTACACAGAGAAACCCTCCTATCTTGAAAAATGAAAAACAACAATAACAAAAAAAAATTCACATTATTTTTCACACTTGAATTCTTTCATAAAAATTGAGATTTTTTTTGTATTTTATGTATATGAGGATTTTGCCTGCAAGTAAGTGTACATGTGCACCACATGTTGCCTGGTACTTCCAGGGGTCATAAGAGATCAGATCCTCTGAAACTGGAGTTGAAGTTATAAGCCACCATGTGGGTGCTGGGAACCGAACCTGGGTCCTCTGTAAGTGTAGCCCCCGCTCTTAGTGGTTGAACCGTCTCTCCAGCCCCTCAACATTTGAATTCTCAACCCACTTAGAGCCCATCTCTGAATCCCATATTGAGAAATGATCCACTTTTATTTTTCTCACTGTTTGCCACTGTCTTAGTTTCTATTCTGTCGCTGTGACAGAATGCCCTAACAAAAGAGCCTTAACGGGTCAAGGGTTCACTTCAGCTCACCATCACCCAAGGTTATGGTCCATTGGTCCATCGTGGTAGAGGAGGTCACAACTGCAGGGGCTTAGGCTAGCGAGTCACGTTGCATCTGCAGTAAGAAGCGGAGATGAGTGATGAGTCCAAACTGGAGCTCACTTCTCTTTCCCCACTGACTCAGTCTCAGATCCTAGTCAGAGAATGGGGCCACCACAGTGGCGCCCCAGGTATGGTTATCAAGATGGTCCCCCTTGGGCATGCTCAGAGGCACAGGTCCACATGATTCTAGATTTTCGCAAGTTGACAGCACTTATCACAGCTATGGAATCATTTCTTGTCACTATGTGGAGCTCTCTTCAATTAAGCTGCCATATGTAAGTGAATTTATTTCAGAGCTGGGTTTAGGGTTTTTTGTTTGTTTGTTTTGAGACAGGTTTCTCTATATAACCCTGGCTGTCTTGGAACTCACTATTTAGCTGAGGCTGTCCTCAAACACAGAGAAATTCTTCTGCCTCTGCCTCCTGATTATTTCAGAACTTTTTTGTTTTTAAATTCTACCTGCCTGCTCCTGTTCTTATGAACTTGTTTTATGGTATGTCTTAATTTTTGGTCCAGTAAATTGCTCCCTTATACTTCTGTTTGTGGTTACTTTTGGCAATTAGCAGACCTTTCTTTTCATTTATTTACTTATTTACTTATTATTTACATTCATGGTATTCATTAATTACACTCATGATATTAATTACATTTGTGGTATTCATTGATTACATTTGCAGTATTCATTCAATAACTGCATTTATAATATTCATTAATTACATTACGTGTATTGATTTATTACATTCATGATATTATGTCCTGATACTACTGTCCATTTGTGGGACTTTTCCATCACATAAAACAGAGATTCTGTACTTAGGAAATCATTGCTCTATATTCCTTTCTTCTCCATCTTGAGATAACATCTAATCTTTCTGTCTCTATGAATTTGTATATTCTATTTATCTCATGTAATACAATTCTGTAGTATTTGTCCTTTTTTTAATGTAAAGACTTTTTTTTGTTTGTTTGTTTGTTTTTGTTTTTCGAGACAGGGTTTCTCTGTGTAGCTTCGCGCCTTTCCTGGAACTCACTTGGTAGTCCAGGCTGGCCTCGAACTCACAGAGATCCACCTGGCTCTGCCTCCCGAGTGCTGGGATTAAAGGCGTGCGCCACCACCGCCTGGCTTTAATGTAAAGACATTTTATGTACAACTGCAGGAGAAATAATACAGATAGCTTGAACATAAAAACAGGTTATAATTCAAGTCCAGGGTTATTTTAAACATTCAGTTCTTTTCATCTACCATACTGGCCACAGGGATTGAACATAGGTTGCCAACGCTTGGCAACAGGTGCCTTCAGCCACTGAGCCATTTTGCTGGCTCCCACATGGCATCTTACCTGTTTAGTTGACTGTTTTCCTTACTAATGCAAGTCTCTAGAGCACAGGACTCATATTTACCTCTAGAGTCTCAGGACGACACATAATAATCTAGGACTTAGGTTTGTTTAATCACTTACTAATTTGCATGTGGGTGCACGCATGGACAAATGGCATGCACGTGGAGGTGAGCACAACTTGTGCAAATTGCTTTTCTCCTTTTACTATGTGGGCTCCAGAGATGGGACTCATGTCATCGGGATTGGTGTCAAACACCTGTGCCCACAGAGCCATCTTGCTGGTCCCTTAGGATATGTAATCTATTATTCACAACTAAATAAATGAGATGGTAACTAATGATATGTTTGCAGATGACAACTGATAAAACATATCGCTATCCCCTAGATAAGATGAGATGTGTTGTCTCATCTGGGCCATGGTGTCATCAGAGACCTTTCAGGGGGTCTTGGCTGGTCAAACCTGATGTATCTTAATCTTGAACAAATCCATAGCCTCTGGTTTTCTGTGGAAACAAAAGAGACTCTTTTCCAAAGCAACATATCCTTATATCCAAATTTTGAAGTCAAGGTATCTTTAAAATATACATTTTGGCATAACTCAACAGCTTTTACAATCAAATGTTTTTCTGCAGTTAAAAATATAAAGACAACACAATCCAGATTCTCTGTGTAATACTCATTTTTATGTGGCTTATTCTTTATATTAATTTTACTGACTCTTTAAAGACTTTATTTTTTTAAAACTATGTATTTGTTTCTATAACTTTATATATCACCTTTTTTTGTCTCTTTCAAGCCTACGTATATTTTACACACATTGTAAACTATTACATCTGAATCTGTCTTATTGTGAATCTATTGCTTTAAACTGCAGCAGCTGTGGCTGCTGGCTCCACCCACCTCAGCTTCCCAGCATGGCGGTGGTTTACCACGAGCTCTGGGAGCTATCATGGGTCTATGCTTTTATCCAAGCAGCGTGTAGTCCAGAAACCTCTTTTTTTGTTTTGTACCAGCAAAGGCTAAATCCACCATGCAGCTTAATGTGCCACTTGCAGAGGCCTCATTCCCGCCATACTGCAGGTTGCACGCACACCAGAAACCCACAAGGAGCTCAAACCGACATCTGCCGCTCATTTGAGAGAGACAATTAGGAACTGTTTTTAGCTCCGTTTTAGAATCTTTTTTCTCAGTTTTTAGGTGGAAACTCTTGCCACCACTTTGGACACCATTTGTAGCTGGAGTTTTCCTACCTGGCCCACAGTCAGGACAAATCTCTGTCACTCGCCAGTCCCACAGCAGCTCAGACCCGACCAAGTAAACACAGAGACTTATATTGGTTACAAACTGTATGGCCGTGGCAGGCTTCTTGCTAACTGTCCTTACTTCTTAAATTAATCCATTTCCATTCATCTATACCTTGCCACATGGCTCATGGCTTACCGGCATCTTCACATGCTGTTTCTCATCGTGGCGGCTGGCAGTGTCTCTCTGACTCAGCCTTCCACTTCCCAGCTTTATTCTCCTCCTTGTCCCGCCTACACTTCCTGCCTAGCCAATGGCCAATCAGTGTTTTATTTATTGACTAATTAGCAACACATTTGCCATACAGAACATCCCACAGCATATGTATATATTTTATTCATTTGTATTTTTTTGCATGTGTGCACATGGATGCCACATCATGTATGTGGTGGTCAGAGGACAAGTCACAGGAGTCAGTTCTCTCCTTCCAACATGTGAGTCTTAGGGCTCAAACTCAGGTCATGCCAAGCACAGGTGTGCATGTGTGTGTGTGTGTGTGTGTGTGTGTGTGTGTGTGTGTGTGGTGTGTAAAACTTGGGTGTCATTTCTGGGAGCCATCCACCTTGTGTTGTGAGATAGAGTCACTCCCTGGGACTCACTGATTAGCCTTGGCTGTCCAGTGAGGCCCAGGGCATCTACTTGTCTCTGCTTGCCCAGCACTAGGACACTGTGTTCTTTTATTTTCCTGTGGGTTCTAGGGATGGAACTCAGCTTCTCTATTTGTATAGCATGCACTCTACTGACGGACTCGTCTACTTTGCTCTTGGCGGAGGAATTCTTGACATAAATAATTGATGTTTGTGGATGCAACCCCTGTTTTCCTTCTTCTCTCCCTTAGACTAAAAATATTTTGGATTTGAACTAGACACTCCCTCCCTTCTCTCTAACTTCCCCCACTGATTCCAAAGAAAATGAAAACATTTCTCTTTGTTTCTCAGATCAACACTTATGGAGCTGAATGTTTCAGAATCCCGAGATGTGACTTCTTCCTCCGTCTCTGACAGTGTGGTTCAGGAGATTGTCCCACCCAGCTGTTACTGTCAAAAGGGAAAGCCTTCTACTGACTACAGCATGTCCTCTGCATCATCCAACAACAGCTCGAGCCTGTCTTATCTTCCAATGTTTCCTGAAGGGACAGCTTGGCAATTCCAGAGCGATAGTGGACCTGTTTCCTCCCAAAAGGAAGCATCTATGCCCAGGAGCCCTGGCACATCCCTGCCTACTTCTCAGCTGACAGATTCTGAGAAATCAGATCTTTCTCCGAATTTGGCAGTTCTTCGTCCCTTACAAGCTCAAACTTCCTTTATGAGCTCTATTTTAGAATCCTTAGATCCTTGCGAACAAGAGAAAACAAAAGAAAAGGGAAAGACTCATTTTTAATCAAATCATGGGTCAGATTCTGATTTGGATGAGAGTCCAGGACCCCTAGTATGGGCTCCACTCCAGCTCTCTCCTTTGATCAGAGGAGAACTGGAAGGACATAAGTCTCAGAAGGTTTCTACTTTGCAGCAAGAAGTGGTGCCTCTGCCTGTGAAGAAATCCTGGAACATACTCAATCATTTGATGGATGTACAAGGAGTCCCTGAAGAAGAGCTCCCGAAAACTCAGTTACCTGCACTCATCCCTGAGGGGATGTTGAGCAAAATACCAACACATCTCCAGATCCTCCATCATTTCATCTCCACGTGAACATTGGGGTGAATTCTGAAGTCCATAGGACGGAAGCAATCATTTCACAGCCATTTCCCTCAAACAGGCAGTCACAACCCGAGGATGACCGCCAAGAACTTAGATATAATCCTTTAGTTATATCAACGGGCACACCATCTCCCAGAAATCTAGGAGTTAACATAATTCAGGAAGAACAAGCTTTAGTGAAAAAGGATTCAAAGCATGTGTTTGAGCCGAATATAGAGCAGAAGGTCATAGGTCTTCCAGAAAAAAAGGGTACAGACACATAAGGCACAACTAACTAATGTGGAGCTGACACCCAAGATACCACGTTCAGCCACTGACAGAATAAAGGTCACTCCATTGGCATTGCTTCAGGTTATGGACTTAATGGGAATAATCCCAGAATCACAGTCGGAGCTGATAGACTCTGTGGGGTTTTCCCCAGAGCCGCCAAATCAAGCAGAAACAGTGGGGATAACTCCTCAGCCATTAGTCAAGTAACTGAACCAATAAAAGGAACCCATCATCAGCATCAAACCACGGAATTAAAGAGCATGGCCTCAAGACTGAGTCAAGTCACAGATAACCTGGAGGTAACTCCTGTGGCATTGTTTCACGTCACGGATTCCATGGAGATGATTGACAAATTAAGTCCACATGGCATAGAACCAGTAGGAGTAGCCCCACAGCCACAATACCAAGTCATGGAATCAGTGAAGATGGATACATTGCATAACTATCAAGCCATAGGACCAGGAAGTATGAGTCGAGGGCCACAGCAGACAGTTGTGGAAGCTGTGGAAATGATCCCCCAGCCTCAGCATAAAGACATGGGAAAGCTGACCATGACCTTGGGGTCACAGAATCAAGCCTCAAAACACATCAGGATTACTCCCAGTCCAGTACATCAAAATGCAATGGAAATTAGCTCAAGTGCACTGCCTGAAGCCACTGAAGATACAAAAGTGTCTCCAGTGGCAAAACAAGCCATGGATTTCATGCAGATATTTCCACTAGGACAGCCGCACATTACTAAATCTAGGGCTTTGATCCGAGGCTCACAGCCTCCAGCTGAAAATTGGACCCCAGTGTCAGCTCAACCAGATGTTCCGACTACTACTGTCCCAGCAGGAACTGTAGAATCTAGAAGCGTACCTCCACAGCCACCATCTAAAGTACTGGAACCATCAGGAATGACTGATGACCTACTACCGTCATGTCAGTCCCTGCATGCTCTAAAGGTGACCCCGCCAGTCCAGGCATCTCCGACGGGAATGATCACACCACTACAAATTGTAGAGCCTCCAACCAAAGAGTCTCTGCAATTGACTTCTGGGTTACAGGGTCAAGTTGAAGACTCCGTGGGGACTACGGCACAACCTCAAGGCACAGAGTGTGTGTCACTGACTCCAAAGTCACATCATCAAATAATGGAATCCAGGAAAGCAATCCCAGCACCACCAGATCAAGGTGCAGTACCTATAGGAAGGGGCCAAAAGCATCAAGTTCCAGAAGCTGAAGTAGTGCCAGTCATACCACTGCTTCAGGAAATGGAATATTTGGGGGGGAGCACAGTCCCACAGCCTAAGGTTAGGGATTCAATGGACTTTCCCCCAGAACTACAGAATGTAAAATCTGAGCACCTAATCCCAGATCCAAGATTGCAAAGTGTGAAATCTGTGGACATAACCACAGATTTAGTCCCAGAAATGGAAAAATATGGACCACCAACCTCAACAGTGGTATGTATAGATTTGGCCCCAGAACTGCATCAGCAGAATACACAATATGAGGAATTAACCCCCATACCACAACTGCAAAGTGAGACATCTGTGCCATCGGCCCCTGAGTCTCAGTTTCAAGATATGAAATCTGGCCAACTGACAGTTGAACCACAACACCAAAACAAAAAGTCTGCTGGGTTGGCGGCAGGTCCACAATTGCAAAATAATAAATCAGTACATTGGATCCCCGATTATCAGTCTCAAGGAATGGAAGAAGCTCTTTCAGCCCTATCACAGGACATACATTTAGAGACCATCACTTGAAGCTATAAAATCTGTGGACTTGGCCCCAGAACCATGTTCACAAACATCGGCTCTGATAAGATAGCCCCTGTACCATTGCTTGAGGATACAAAGACTCCATTGGTAGAAGGTAGGAATCTAATTCCTGAGGCCCTGGTGGAGAGTATGGAAGTTGGTGAACTGATCCCAAGCACACACATTTATGTAACAAAATCTTTAGAAGCGACCCCCAAACCAAGTTATCATTTCCTAGAACCTGAAGGACTGACCCTACAGCATCCAACCTCAGAAGCAAGAGTGACCTCTGAACCTTGCCAGCAGGTGGAAGAATCTGCTCCGTTGCCACAATCATCATTAGGGATGACTCCAGCACCGTTGAGCCAGACCTCAGAATCTGTGGAGATGAGCTCACCACCACTCCAAGATACTCTTGAACCTGGGACCCAAGTTGTAAAAGAGATGGAAGAGACTCCAGAATCAGGAAATGCAATTAAAGATACTCTGGATTTGCTACTAGATTCAGAAGTGCAAACTATGACCTCAGGAGTGATGGCCCCAGAGCCACAGCCCCCTGATGTGAAGTTTGTTCAGGTGCCTCCAGAACCGTGTGCAGAAGTTACTAACCCATCGGAAATAACTCTGAAACCAGAATATGAAGACACAGAGACCTTCAGATTGACATTCTCTAAAGTCGATGATACCCGGGCACCATCATAGACCTATATTCAGAAGTGAGATCTCTGGAGTTTAGTCTAGAATCAGGAGTGCAAGGTGAGAAATCAGAGTCCTTTTCCCAAAATTTGAAGTCTGCAGAAGTAGAACTACCCTTACAAGTTGTAGAACCTACAGTACTAACTATAGGACAAAAACCACATATTAAAGATGTGACCCCAAAGCCACAGCTCCACGAAGTAAAGTCTAGGCAAATGGATAGAGATTCACAGTTGCAAAATGAGAACTCTGTAAGTGTAATGCAGCCGTCATCTACAGGAGAGGTAGATCCTGAAAAGACAAAACCAGAGCCATGTCTACAAAGTTTATCACCGAAGGAACGGATTGAGGGAACACAGCCCCCAAATGTGAAATCTGTGGATTTAAATCTAGGCCCACAGAAGCTAAGTGTCAAATCGGAATTGATTCCAGGGCCAAGGGCTGGAATCAAGGGCTACTTCTTCAAGGGGAAAACCCAGTAAATTTCATCTCAGGCCCCCCACATTATGGTGTGAAATCTCATGAAATCTCATGATGAAATATCATGTTTCCTGGGGCCAGAAACCACATCATCAGATTTTATCCTGGGGCCAAAGCTTCCAGAACCACAGCCACAACCACAACCACAACCTGGTAAGGCCTCATTTGGAAGACAGGAAATCTATGGAGTTAAGGTCAAAGTCAGAGCTGGGGAAAGTCATATCCATGCTGTCAACCCCAGGGATACAAGCAGGAGATAAGGAATGTGAGGAGCTGCCTCCGGGCTCCACCCTGAAAGGTTTAAAATATGAGTTACCCCCTTCAGAACCACAGTTAGAAGACAGAAAATCTGCAGTCTTAACTGTAGGACAATGTCCAGAGAAGATAAAATCTACAGTCTTAACTGTAGGACAATGTCCAGAGAAGATAAAATCTACAGTGATATCCCCAAGTAGTTCCCAGTTAGATGGTATGAAATCTGTAAAGCTGATTCCAGGTTCAAGAATTCAAGATTTGATAACTGTGGGGTTGGCCAGTGATGCACGTGTTCAAGAAGTAAATGCCATGCGCTTAGAACTTGAACCAAAGAAGCAAGGGGAGAGTCCCATGACTTTTGTACCAGGGATGCTGTTTCAAGACAAGCCTATGGAGGTGTTGCAAGGGCCTCATCTACAAGATGTAAAACCCAAGGAACTGACTTCACGGCCACAAACACAAGATAGCAAATGTGTGATTATCTCATGTCTGAAGCAGCAAAATCTAAAACCTGTGAATAAAGCCAAAACACAAGGGATCCAAGAAGTAAAATTCATGGATTTAGTCTCAACACAACAGTATCAAGGGAGGGCACCCATGGATTTAACTCTTGAGCCCGGACAGGATGACCACATAAGCTCAGCAGAGTGGAAAGGTGGGATGTTCGGCCACCTGAACAAACAGTTGGAGTCAGAAGAAATGTTGTCTATGGGGTCAGATCAAGAACCCAAACCTGCAGGTAGAAAACCCATAGACCTCACCTCTAAACTACAATGTAAAGATGCACCCTCATTTGAATTGGCCCCTGAACCAGTTCATAATGTAAAAGCTCAAGAGGACCAATATGGGCCACAGGTGCCGAGTATGAGACCTTGTCCATTGACTCCAGAATCACAGGTGTACCAAGTGAAAGACTTGGAGCCAATGTTAGAGCCACCGCTCCAAGATGGGAGAACTGTGGCACTAAATACTGAACCACAAATTGGAGGTACAAAATCTGTGCAGTAGATTCCAGTATCTGAGTTTCAAAGGGAGAAATGTATAGGGTCAAACTTTAAGTTACTCCGAGGGTAGTAATCTCAGTGGATATGGAGAATAGCTCTGGAATGAATTCCCAGATTCCTCCATTTGGTCCATATCTTCTTGTCTACCCACAGATCCACCTTTTAAGCACCCGTGAAGGCCATGGTGAGATTCAGTTGCATCTTGGTTTTAGACTGAGAACTAGGAAAAGACCTCAAGTCTCAAAGCATCGTGGGAGAAAAAGAGCAGATACATGGAAGAGCACTACATCACCATCACGAAGGAAAGCTAAAATCTATCCTCCAGCTTCCAAGAGGCCAACTACTCCAAGAGATTTCCAGGCCCGATCTTCCCAGGCTTCTGTACAAGTGCACATTAGAAAAAAGCAACGGGGCAGCCATGGGGTGGTCCGCCAGACAGACGCCAGAGACTCTGAGCACCATGAATTCCGTCAGCTTCACTCTGTATCCGAGAGTGGCTTTGAAAGTAATCAGGAAGAAAAATGGTCGAAATCAAGCCTCAAAAAGACCTTTGACTTAAACTATCCAATGAAGGAAACCATCAAGGGACTTAAAACACAAAACACAAAGCTCTACAAAAATAGTGAAACCCCGGAAGAGAGTCCTTTTAGAATGTGTTCATCAATAAGCAAGAGTATTGAAACCGTTCAAACAAGCACTGTTTCTTCGAAGACACAACCTGAGAAATCCTCTCAGGCCAAGTTCTACCAGCTGCTTTTCCAGGGCCTAAGGCAGGCATTCCAAATAGCACATAGAATTGTGGCTTATACTGGACAGAAGCCTGAGGACAGGACAAGGCCAGACAATTTGTGGTCAACCCAATACTTGCACCCCAAACAAAGAGCCAACAAGTATTGTTTAGCAGGAGATAGCAAAGGAGCCAGCACACCAGTTGCCCAGCAAAGGTCAGCAGGTGTGAACCCTAAGCAAGAGGACAGATTGCAGGGAACAGGTGACCAGTGTAGACAAACTCAACAGCCAAAACAAGTGAGCTCTCTCCAACCCATACCTTTGCAATTGGAGACCATGGCTTCGGAAAGAGATGCCACTATCCAAATTACTTCAATCCTCCAACCTTGAGTAAAGTTCAAAATGTCATAGGCTTCTTCAGGGAGAGGGCCCTCCATAATAAGCCTTTTGAAAGGACCAATCGCATCCTTTGGGAGAGAATTCATGAAAGTCTCTCTGAGAGGCGATACCGCAGTCCTTCTCAGAGAAGGCATAGCAGTCCCTCTGACAGAACCCTTAGACATCTCTCTGACAGGAGTCATTGCAGTCCCTCCCCGAGACAGGATAGTAGTCCGTCTGTGAGAACCCTTCAAAGTATCCCTCCTGGAGCCATTACAGTCTCTTTAAGGGGATAGGTCACAGTCCCTCAGGGAGGAGCCGACCCCGTCCTGGGAGACGCCCTAGGAGTCCCTCTAGGAGGTCTCTTAGTCCTCGAGAGAGAAGAGGACGAGAGAGAAGAAGCCACCGTCCCTCAAAAAGGTGCCATCTCAGTCCCATCCAGAGGACACGGTGCAGTCCTTCAGAAAGGAGCCATGGTAGTCTCTCTGAGAGAACCCCTTTCAGTCCCTCTGGCAGGAAAAGGCGTAATTCTTCTGGGAGAGTTCACCACCTTCCCTCAGAGTCCAGGCTATACAGGTCTTCTTCCAGACTCCACCGCAGTCATTCTGAGAGAACTCACTACAGTCCCTCTAAGAACAGACACAGTTATCCTGAGAGGAGCCGGCAAGGTCACAACGAGGGACCTCATCACAGTACCAAGGAGAGGCTCAGGGGTAAGGAGAAGCCCGGACATAGCTTGTCTATAAAGACTTCAAGACTTATAAACTCCTAGGGGACTTATGCCTCCTAGGGACCACACCAAAAAATCCTAGAACTCGCTCACTGTAGACCCGTCTAGGCACAAGGGGGTGTCATCTCTTTGTGGATGAGGTTCAAAGGTCCCTGGCACTCACTAGTGTGCTTGTGATTTGCTAGACCTCGGGATCCACAGCCCTTAAGCCACAGAGGAGCACCAGGATCGTGGGAGCTAAGAAGTAAGTGAGGTTTTCTGGGGACATTTTTGAAATTGTGTAGACAGTTCTGATAAAGATGTTTTGTGTATGCACTTTGGAACATCATAGCATAGATATTCTGCCACATGCAGCAGATTTGACTCCAAGTTCCCTACAAATCCTATGTCCATCCTCCTCTATCTTAGTGAAGGACTCATGAACTTTCACCTGCACTGTTGTGACATCATTCTACTGCTGCTTAAAAGAGGTTCCTAAATGCTAAATGATAAGCTGCCAATACACTGACATGCAACCCTCAAAAAGCATCTCTTCAGCTGGGTGGTGGTGGCAAACACCTTTAATCCCAGCACTTGGGAGGCAGAGGCAGGTGGATCTCTGTGAGTTCGAGTCCAGCCTGGTCTACAGTGAGCGAGTTCTAGGACAGGCTCCAAAGTTGCATGGAGAAAACCTGTCTCAAATCCCCCTCCCCCAAAAAAAGCATCTTTTCTCCCTCCCACTACTCCAAGTCAGCCTGCCATTTAGCAACTTTCTAGAATACCATGTTCTCAGATTGTACCTGGGAATTTTGAACACTGGTTGGTGGATTTAACAGGTTACAACAGGTTACATCATAACACAAAACCTTTGCCATATTTACATTTAGCTGCGCATCTTAAAGCAGCTTCCCTGGAGATGCACAAAGAGTGTCTTTAGTCTTCCACTCCTTGAATGGGGGCACATAGAACCATCTAAAGAACCAGCTTGAGAATACTCTAGAACCCTGCTACTCGGTGTGGGCCATGAGCTGGGAACTTGTTGGAAATACAAAATCCTACATGCAAGGGCTCCAGCACCCTGGGTAATGAGAGTCTGCATTCCTAGCAGGCAAAGCATCACTGGCCAGCCCCAGTCAGGAACAACTGGGTCTAGAGCAGCGGAGGGGTCACATGCATGGGCATGTGGGAAGCCTGGGAAGGGGCCAGGCAGCAGGAATGAGGACAGGCTCTCTACTTACATCACACTGCTGCAGAATATGATTTCAAGGTTGCTACTTTTGTTTATGCTGCATTTAACTCTGTGAAGCTGTGGTACTGTGCCTGTCTAGAACACCTGATGGTCTAATAAAGAACTGAATGGCCAATAGCAGGCAGAATATATAGAAGGAGAAATCTGGGAGGAGAAAAGAAGGAGCCAGAGAAGAGGAGGACTCCAGGGGCCAGCCACCCAGCTACACAGCAAGCCACAGAGTAAGATTTACAGAAGAAAGAAAACAGGAAAAGCCCAGAGGCAAAAGGTAGATGGGATCAGTTAAGTTGAGGAAAGCTGGCTAGAAACAAGCCAAGCTAAAGCCTAGCATTTGTAATTAAGAAGAAAAACCAAAGGAAAAAAAAAGAATAAGCCTCTATGTGAATTATTTGGGAATTGGTGGCTGCCCCCCAGAAGAATAAATAAGAAAAACAAACCAACGACATCACAGACTTACAATGAGTCACTGCAGAGTGAACCTACAGCCGCTGTGGACACCACAGACTTTCCCCCAAATCTGTCAGGGCAGAAATAAACCCTCAGCACGTGTTGGCTTACTCACCTCCAGCCAGCTCTCCCACCTCTGCTCACTTCCCTACTTCTTCATGCTTCAAAATAAACCCATGGAAAAACAGAACCAATCACATCAGCCCTCCATACCCCTCTCCATCTCCGCACTTGTTATGGTCACCAAGCTTCTGGCTCGACTTCAGTAAATTCTCCCAATAACTTGGAAGCAAGTGGTTTGCTGCTGCCACTTTACAAACTAAAAACCAAAAAAGCCAAACAAGGCTTGCACAAGTAATTGTCAAGGTCACCCAGCAAGTGACTTATCAAGTTGATTGGGGGATGGGGGAGTACACAGCCATGTATATGTATGTGAAGGTCAGAGGTCAAACTCAGGCATTTTCTTCTAATTGCACTCTATCTTTTTCACTTATTTATGCTTGTCTTAAAGACAGAGTAACTGACTGGCCTGGAACTCTGCTATTAGACCAGGCTGGCCTTGAACTCTCACAGAGATCTGCCTGCCATCACACTCAACTGTTTTGTAGGTCTCCACCGCTGTTTCAGTTAGACTGCACAGCTGGCACACTCTTGGCACCTGTCCACCTCCAGACCACCCCGTAGCACTACAGTCACAGACGCGCACCTCCACACCTAGTTTTCACGTGGGTGCTGGGAACAGAACTCAGGACCCCATGCTTGCACAGCAAGCGCTTTACCCCTGAGCAGCTCCTGGCTCTGGGGCTGAGCTTTGGTGAGGTGATGACACGGGAGCAGTGCGATGGCTAGAGCGCCTCCTACAGGCCAGCACCATGTGCACACTCAATCCGGCCAGCAAGGCGTGCTGCCCCGTGCACTCTGCAGATTAAAAACTGCAACAACCTCTCCAACGTCACACACATGGGGGCATGTGTGGACTTGAACTCACAATCCACGCCCTGAATCCTGCTCTCAAACACTGGTCATATTAATTAACAAAGCATAGCCCCCTGCTTTTCTCTCCTGAAACCTTTCACTTTTATGAAATTAATGAGCTAGAACCCTTTATCAGTTCATTGTTCTTTGCTAAATCTAGAGTCTACCAAAGAGACAGATTTCTGTTTTCTAAGTTATTGTAATTAGAAATTTCTCCTAAGACATTAGAGCTCATATAAAAGAAGAAGAGGAAACAAAATTCTCATTTGTCCATTGACCGAATATAAGCCTACGAACGTCAGCCTGAGTTTCTTTCTAATCTTTGCTGTGTGAGCCATACACCATGTAAGGCATTTTATCTCTCCGCTGCCACTTAACATTTGATACACAATTTTTCTTTTTCTTTTTTCCATATGTTCTTACCAGATTCAAACTGTTTGCCTGGGCCTGTGGACTACAGCCTATTGGACATTCCCATGCAGTCAGACAGGCCGTTTCTGTGTGTGGTCACTGTTGGTGACAGGAGCATAAATAATACCAAGGACAGATCTCTGTACCTGAAGATTTCTCATGCTGAAGCTTCCTGTGGGTTAAAATCTCAAGAACAAAATTGTGGAGTCAAAGGGAATAAACGTTTTAGGACTCCAGTGTGTTAGATATACTCCAAAAGGGCACAGTAGGTGAGATGCCCACCAGGAGTACATGGAGACACTCATTTTACCATATAAAAGGGCAGTAGGTGAGACGCCCACCAGGAGTACATGGAGATACTCATTTTACCATATAAAAGGGCAGTAGGTTAGACACCCACCAGGAGTACATGGAGATACTCATTTTACCATATAAAAGGGCAGTAGGTTAGACACCCACCAGGAGTATGTGGATATATTCATTTTACTTTGTATTACCATCACTGGATGAAAATCTCTGAAAACTGTTCTACAAACGGTATTTTTTAACGGTATCATTGAAATTAAACCTCACCATTTCCTTAAACATTTCCAAATGTTTGTGAACTGAATATACTTCCTTTCCAAGAAATTAACATTTTTCTTAATGTACATTGACCTCATTTCCCCCCAACGTGAAAGTTTTATTGCTCATTATAAACTAACACGTTGCTAGCTCCTCCGAGTGCCAGCCTGCGACGCCACTTGAAAAAGCATCTAGGTGCCGGGCTGAGAAGGTAGCTAACAGGAAGATCCTCCAATGAACAGAAATGGCCGGGAGGAAGGGGAGAGGTGGGAAGGTTCAGAGACGGCTGCAAAGGGAGGGCACTGTGCCCTTACCTCCTTCACCTGCTGCTGTGGGCCACGTGCCATCAGCATGGCCCAACTGCAACAGAGCAGGGCGAGTTCAGTGCGAGCCAGGGACCATGTGAGCACCTCAGGGCAGGGGTCTTCGCTGCAGGGGAGGGAGCAGGCAGGATCTTCCACATTCTAGGGGAAACTGACTGTTCAGATGATGGACACGGGAAAGTGTACGCCTGGCAGTCAGAGCTTCCTGAGGAACCAACTAGTGGCAGGAGGGGAGAGTGATGGGGTGAGCACCCCCCCATGGCCCAGTTCCAGCAAGAGCTCCATTTTAGTGTTAGCCTCTCCCACCAGTACACATCAGTCAGACGCCAGTATTTTGAGGGAAGCACAGCCAACAGGAACAAACCAGGACACCTGAAAAGAGCACGCAGCATGAGATGACCTGACCCAGTGATGAAGAGTTAAAGGGTCAGGCTCACAAATATCTACCCCAGGGGGTAGGAGAGAAATGGAAGGAAGGAATGAGATGCCCTAGGGAGCCTCACTACATGGAAGAAGATTAGTGAGGGGATCACACTTGGGGACCCTCTCCCAGAGAAGAAAAGGGGAGGGGGGTGTGAAAGAGGCTAGGAAACACCTGGTGAGGTAAGAAGCAAGAAATTCCAAAACCAGGTGAAGAACAAGTGGTTAGCGGAGCCCCATGAGGCTGAAGGCTGGACATCAACAGACGTGGCCACACACCCTGTCAGCTGCCCCTCAGGGAGAGCAGATGGCACTAAATGTCATGGGTTCCCAGGGCCTCCGGTGGCCACCTCTCACCAAGAGCTGGCCATAAGGGACAGAGAGGGGTTGGCAGCAGAGTGGAGCTAAGGGTTTTGGTTTGTTTCTACGGATATAATTACTTACACATACTTGGAAAACAATGCTAACTTTCAATGCTAGCTAGAACAAGAGTAAATGTGCCCTGTGATATTTTCCTGTTTGTACCGTGATACGTTAAAGGGATCAATCTACACCCTGGCAATTGTAAGGGGAGGGCCATCAGCTTTTTTCTCTGAGACTGGTCTAACAGTCTACACTGAAGAGTTCTTCAGTCTAGACACTCTTCATGGGTCTTGACACCCTTCGGGACCTAATGAGAGTTTGGAACATCCTCCCAATTACGTATTTACCCATATACACAATTTTTATCTTGGTGTTTAATTTCATAATCTCCTAGAGCTGTCTTTAGAAATTCTGATTTGTTCTCTAGGGCGCGGTGTTCCAGTGCTGTCTCTTAATGTTACATACGAGCAGATGCACGCCTCTTATTTGACTTTGAAATATGAGTGTGTGTGTGTGTGTGTGTGTGTGTGTGTGTGTGTGTGTGCGCGCATGTGTGGTGTGTACACGCGTATGCCACAGCATAAACGAGGAGTCATTTCTCTTCTTCCACACTGTGGGTTCCAGGGATTGAACTCAGCTCCTCAGCCTTGCTGGCAGGCACCTTCACCCACTGAACCATCTTGCTGGCCCCACTTGTCTCTCTTGGAGGTTTAGTATCTTTCTGTGAACTCCGATTTTCCCCCCAGTGCCGGCGACTGCACTCAGGGCCTCACACACAAACACACCATCTTCTACTGACCCAGCCCCTCCTATATTCTTGGTATATCCCTGTTGTTCCTGGGCATCCGAACCCCTGACAGTGTCCAAAGGAAAGCCGCTGGCATGACTAGTTGAGGGTCTCCGGCTTCCCCTCAAGGTACCTCTGCTCACGTCCCCTCTGCTATTTCCACCAGCCTCCAGGGAGGTGTTGGATCTGTTCTGGAGACTTCCGAGAGCCACACCACACTCTTACAGCCAGGCTTACATTTGTTTTCCCCATGAAAGGGCGTATAACATTGTGGTAAAATAAAGTGTTTGGGGGAAACAGGGTCTTTGTAGATATAATTAGTGATGATGAGGTCATATGGACCAAGGTGGTTCCTCAGCCCAGTAGCTAGGACTGGAAGTCATTGATTCCTTCCATGTAAGAGGAGAGAACTCAGACAGAGAGGAGAGAATACAGACATGACTGAGTTTGGAGCCTCGGTACCACAAGAGGAAGGTCCAGGACCACTAGAAACTAGAAGGACCTCCCCCCAGAATCCCAGGAACATGACAACTTAACACTCTGATTTTGGACTTCTAGATTCCTGAGCTGAACTACAACGACAAGAAGAAACTTCCACAGAACACCAAGTTTGTTGAAATTTGTTACAGCAGCTCTGAGAAGAACCAAAACAATGTGTAAAATATTCAAATAAGCTCTTCCCAGGCACTCACCTGGCCAGGCCTGGCTTCAGTGCAGGAGCCCTGAAGCGGCAGACGACAAGTCAGGTGTGTTCAATGAGATTGCAAGGCCAACAGGCACCAGAGCAAGCAGGCTGTGAAGAAACTCTATGACACTGATGATGTCAACGTCAGTCCTGATGGAGAGAGGAAGGTGTGTGTGAGGCTGGCTCCTGATTCTGATGCTTTGGATGTTAAACAAAACCAGAATCATTTTGACTGAGTCCATCTGCTAATTCTAGGTCTTTGATGGATTGGGTCTTTGTTCCCGTTTTGGGACCTACATGCTGGATTCTAAGATCAGAATGGTGCCTCCAACATGGTGTCAGTTGTGCTAAGGTCTCGGGGTCCTGTTAGAGTATACCTAAAACAAAATGACACTGAATGGCCATGGAAACTCCTACACCTGTAGTCTCAGTTAACCGAAGCCACCCCCAATTTAATGACATGCAGTCGTAACCATTTCACTCGCTCCTGATGCACCCGGTCAGTGAGTTGAACTGCGTTCTGCAAGGCAGATCAGCCACCTCCCCTGGGGTCATCTAAGCAGAGCTAACACAGCTGGCCCTTGGCCACTTCCTCTCATTCAGCCTCTCATCCTCGAGGATGCTAGCCCAGACTTCTGCACAGGGGGGCAGCAGTGTGCCAGATGACGCCTAGGCAGTTACAAATCTCTGGACTCAGCCTCAGAAATCCCAATTTGTAGCCGGCTACCTTCTTTGCAGCTGGCCTGAAGTTGGGGACAGTCTTAGGGGGCTGAGCCCTCAGCCTGTGGAGTCTGATGCTGTCTCAATGCAGATAAGAATGGATTTGATGTCCAGCAGGCCCTCCTGCAGTCTGATTGCTTGTGTGCGGGTTGGGAGAAACACCCCACACATTTAGGACTACAGAATTGAACTGTGTTATAAGAGTACAATAGAAGACTCTGAGTTTGGCTTGTTTTTCCCCCCCATTCACCAGCATAGTTCATGAGGTATTCCTTTATCCATAGGAAGCTATTTGTTCTTACATGTTTGATGAGTATATGAAAGGGGGTATGGAGAGAGAAAGGGAGACAGAAAGACCAAGGGGGTCGAAGCGGCTGACACACTAGCTCAGTCTATTGATCAGCGGGTTATCCACAGCCGTGTTCAGCCAAACCTAGTGGGTATCTAAAGCTCTGTGTGACTTGGCTCACGCAATCCAGGGGGTGGAGCAAGACCCCACCCAGCGAGCAGGAATGCCTCAATAGGCTAGGAGCCCAGAGTAGATGCTGTTTTCTTCTGATTCCACGCCACAGATGAGCTCCTGTATAGAGGGAAAAGGTAGCAACTTGAGAGCAGCCTGATGTTTGATCTTGATTATTAACTTGATGGGATTTACAATCACCATGGAAACAAGATTCCTGGCACATCTGTGAGGGAGTTTCTAGTTAATTGGGCTGGGAAGGCTCACACTAAAATGTGGAGGGCACTAGTCTGTGAGCTGGGGTTTCAGATTGAATAAAGGGGGGAAGAGGAGCCGGGCGGCGACGGCGCACGCCTTTAATCCTGGCACTCGGGGGGGAGGGGGGGGCAGAGCCAGGCGGATCTCTGTGAGTTCAAGGCCAGCCTGGTCTACAGAGTGACGTCCAGGACAGGCACCAAAGCTACACGGAGAAACCCTGTCTCGAAAAGGGGGAAGGGTGGGCAGGGATGAGTACCAGCATTGGTTTTCCTTTGCTTCCTGACTGTTAACACAGCATAACTGCCTGCCTCCAGCTCTTGCCACCGTGGCATCCCCACCACGAGGGACTGTACCCTCAAACTTGGAGCCAAAATAGACCCCTTGTGTTCCCACAGTAAGCAAAGTAACTAATACAAGCAGGTAAGATCCAGAAACTAGAATCGATCAACAATCAATATCCAGAAGGTCCCAGTCAATCAAGAATTAATCAATGCCAGAACACATGGGTAAGAGGAGAGCTGTTGGTTTTTGATGCAGAAGCCATCCAGATAAGGAGGAGGCTTGCCCATGGTACCCAAGAATAGTGTATTATCTACACAGTCCAAAACAGAGGGCATCTTGATGGTGATTATATAACTATCTTAGCCTGAATTTAGAAGATTCTGATGCCAAAATTCTTTTTTTTTTTTTTTCCAAGACCGGGTTTCTCTGTGTAGTTTTGGTGCCTGTCCTGGATCTCCCTCTGTAGACTAGGCTGATCTCGAACTCACAGAGATCCAACTGGCTCTGCCTCCCAAGTGCTGGGATTAAAGGCGTGCGCCACCACCACCCAGCTCTCCCAAAATTCTACTTACGGCCTGCCTTACTTATTCACATTATTTGATTGCATCAATTAAAATCCAGGGTAACTGCATTCTGTCCTTTGTAATACGTAACAGAACACCTGCTGGTTTCGCCGGAGGCCCCACACCGCTGCTGTGAATTCACCCACCCACCTCCCCACCCTTCCCTCCTTTAACAATACTCAAAGTGAACCTAACACATTGTAGGTCCCCTCCACCCTCCCTTTGTTTACACCCCCTCTGTTTACTTGTAGACGGGAAACAGAAAGAAGGTAGTTGGAGTTATTTAGGTACCAAAGAATACTCTAGAAGGAAACACGTAGCTAAAACATTCTAATTAAACAACTGAAAAGATAAAGGCGGAGAAAGGGGGAAGGGTGGTCGAGAGGAAACAGGAAAGTCCCTGCTAGGTGGGTGAGACGCTGGCTGAGTATCTGTCTGGGTTTTGAGCTTTTAAGTCTGGGAAGTAAAGAAGCTGCCTGTGTTAGGCTGCAAACAGGGGCAGGTGGGCATGAGCGCCACCTCTAGTCCAGTGGCTCTCAACCTTTCTAATGCCCAGATACATTTCCTCATGTTGTGCTGACACCCCCCCCCCCACCATACAATCACTTTTGTTGCTATTTCCTAACTGCAATTCTGCTGCTGTCATGAATCGCTGATGTAAATATCTGATCTGCAGGATATCTGATTTGTGACCCCCTGTGAAAGGGTCCTTGGGCCCCCAGAGGCGTGACCCACAGGTTGAGAACTGCCGGTCTGTTCTGTAGTCTGCTTTCTGGTGTCAGAGGCCTGAGACAGTTTCTTCTCCCTCCATCCCTCTTCCTATCGTTCACTCCCTTCCAATTTTTCCAAGAATTCTGAGTCCTGAAGGGAGGGGGAAAGGCAGGTGGTCATACTCAACCCCCCCCCACACACACACAAACCCCACTTTCACCCCCGTCCTTATGCTCACACTTAGATTCAGGTCCGCCCTAGGACAGTCTGGGCTAAAGAGCCTCTAGTCTGACAGACTAGAACACCCAGGGCCATCTTCACCTGCAAAATTCTTCATACATGTTTAAGACGTGTAAGGGTGGGGACTGTGGGTTTGTGGTGGCACCCGTCCGTAATCCCAGTACTGAGGCGGGAGGACAGAGTTCGAGGCTAGCCTGAGCTACATAGCAAGTTGGCCAACATCCTGGATTACAAAGTGATTCCTCGTTTCAATAACAACACCCAAACAGAACATGCAAGGGAGCTGGGGGGATAGGAAAGCTCAGTGGGCAGAGCTTGCCTAGCAAACTAAAGACCCTGATTCGATTCCCAGTGGAGGCGACAAAGAGCTCAGAACAGCGTCGGGCACCTCATTCCTACCCACTACTACTCGGTACTGAGGCTGCTTCAGTGGGACCCGGCCTCGGCTGCAAAGCAGGGTGCACCGGCCTTGACCTCAGGGCTCCCGAGGAGACCGATGCCGGCGTGAATTGCCTCCGGTGATGGTCTCCGTGCGCTCACTGTCGCCCTCAGCGCACCTTGTGTTCAAAGCCTCGGGTTTTCAAACCTTTATTCTCCCTATCACAATACTTCTTTAGGGGAGGGGGTCCTTAGGAAAACGGAAAGTCCGGCATCCTGCATCTTACACGGGGCGAGCACGCACCAGAATCCCTCTTCGGACCGGGGCAACTAGGTGCCCGGAGGACGTTGGCCAGGTCCTAGGAGGCAGGTCTGGTCTGGGGCTCTGAAGGGCCCGCCCTCTTCGGTGAGCAGAGGCAGGGATGTTCAGGGCATGAGGGCTCAGACCCGAGAGCCACACCGCGGGATGGCAGGGGGTTGCTCTGCTCTTTGACCTCCGGGAGGTTAATTAATGAGGTGGCCCACAGGAGGCTGGGCAGACTGACCTCTCCAACTGCCCGATTGCCTGGCGACTCGCGGTGGGCCGGAGAGTCCTGCCTGCCGACCATGGAGCGCCGCCGCCGCGTGAGAGTGAAGTCTTGGGTAGAAGAGAATCGGGCCTCCTTCCAACCCCCGGTTTGCAACAAGCTTATGTGAGTACCCAGCACCCCTTTTCTTATCTTCCCCCTCCTCCTCCTCCCCCTCCTCCCCCTCCCTCAACCCTCCCCTCCCCCTCCACCCCTCTGCCTGGTGCTTTCAGGGGAGGGTGCCGACTGGCTCTTTCAGGTTTCACTATCTCAGTCTGTTCCTCTTTCCGGAGACCACAGCACAGCCGGTGGCCTTGACTTCTGAGACCTGCTTGAGTGTCTCTGAGGCTGTGAGAGATGAGGCAGGATGTGACATCCCTTCCATGGCTGAAAGCAACCATACCCCTTGGGAAAAGCATGATTTTCAATGCCCCAGGCTAGAACTCAGGACCTGGAGACAGCTGAACCACACACCTCAACCTTGGCAAATCCTGAAGCCATGGTTGTATGGTGCGTGTGTGTGTGTGTGTGTGTGTGTGTGTGTGTGTGTGTGTGTGTGTGTCTCCATAGCCCAGGCTATGTAGCTAAGGGTGGGTTTGAACTCCCAATCTGCCTGCTTCCACTTCCCAAGTGCTAGAATTATACGTGTATACCACCACACCTTCTTTCTGAGGTGCTGAGGGTGTAACTTGGGGCCTCTCGAATACTAGGCAAGCACTTTTCCAAACTGAGCTACATCCCTAGCCATGAGGGTTCTTGATTCAGGACTCCAGGCCACACAGGAAAACACCAGGCCCTCCCAGGCCTCCTCTACCTACAGCAGGGACTGACCTGTTCAGGCTGCCTTTCATCTCAGATTTCCCCTCCACCACCTCCCTCCCCCTCCCTCATTTCCACAGCTTCTTGCAACACCACCCCAGACCCCCAAATCACCATATCTGTAGGTCTTTAAGTCATTTCCAATGGGGGGTGATGTCTTAACCCAGACAGCTGCAGCCACTTGACTCTGACAGGGAGATTAGGTCAAGTATATTTACATCATCTCATTGAATTCTCACAGTAGCCCCCACAGGGGTGGGATTTAATAAGTAACTTTCCCAAATGTCACAGAGCTAGCGAGGGACAGAGTCCACAACGCAAGCCCAGAAACAGTTTGACTACAAAGTCCACGCACACCCTTGGTCACTACGCAATACCCCCATGTCTAGCCGTCACCGCCCCTTGAAGCTGTTTCTCTTCTCTCTCTTCTGCTTTTGCCTTCTCCCCCAGCTTGGAGCTTTGTCATTTCTGCCTCTTTCCTGTCTGTAGTCTCTCATTCGCACTCCTCCAACTCCTCCTCCCCCTCTGGAGCCCAGGACCACAGCTCTGATCCTATCCATGCATCAGCCCCGTCAGTAGTGACTACCCTGCCCCCAGCCCTGCCCCCCAGCCTTCCAGTCCTCTAGAACTCCCCAGGTTAACCATCACAACCATCGGCCCTCCCCTTATTCAGTCAGCAGATATTTACTGAGCACCACGATGCTCTGGACTTTGGGGATAGGGCAGGCAGCAAACTGACAGAATACCTTCCTGGTAGAACTGAGATTCTGTTGAGAGGGGATGTCAGTCGGTATGAACAAGTCTGTGGAGGTAACCTCCATCACTGGGAGGGCTGGGTTTTCATGGTGCGTCTGTGCCATGCCTGGCTCTAGCTTCTGGCTGGCATCAGTGGCGTTCCTTGGTTTCAGATGCATGAACCCAGCGTCCATGTTCATCTTCACAGACCTTCCCCTGCTGTGAGTCTCCATATCCACATTCCTGCTCATAAAACCTCACTTATATTGCACTGAGCAGATCATAAGGCAACTGGAACTGTCTCTCCCTCCTGTTCGGGACTCCTGTTTCCTCAAGGCGTTGTCTCTCTCTTGTGTCCCATCAAGACTGTCCCCCACTGCAACAATATGGGTTCGGACCTCAGGCAGGCTCTGAGGTTCACACCCAGCTCCCACATGCTATGGCTGTGTGATGTGAAGTTCGCCTTCCCAGGTCCTTGGGGTTAGGACTCCAACATAAGAATTTGGACCAGTCAGGGGATTCAACCTGTAACACCCCCAGAGAGATTTTGCATTCTGACTTGGGGGGGGGGGGTGTAATTATCAAATAAACTTGTTCAAGAGCTTTTTGTCTATATCTCAGTAAAGTCCATTAATAAAAGGCAAAAACAGAGAAAGGGGTGGGTCAGTGGGTAAAGGCACTTGCCCTCACAAGCCTAAAGGCCTGAGTTCAGTCTCCAAGATCCATGTGATGGAAAGAGAGAACTGACTCTAAATAATTATCCTCTGACCTCCACACGTAAATTACAGCTTATGAGATGATCACTGGGAGAAGCCAAGGCAGGAACTGGAGCAGAAGCTGTGGAGGAGTGCTGCTTGCTGGCTTGCTCCCCCTGGCTTGTTTAACCTCCTTTTTTCTTTTCTTTTTTCTTTTTTTAAAGATTTATTTATTTATTATGTATACAGTGTTCTGTCTGCATATATGCCTGCTCACAATAAGAGGGCGCCAGATCTCATTACGGATGGTTGTGAGCCACCATGTGGGGGCTGGGAATTGAACTCAGGACCTCTGCAAGAACAGCCAGTGCTCTTAACCTCTGAGCCATCTCTCCAGCCCTCAGCCTGCTTTCTTATGGAACCCAGGGTCATCAGCCCTAGGGTGGCGCTGCCCCACAGTGAGCTGGGCCCTCCCCCATCAACCATCAATCACGTGTCTGGCTCATAGGCCAGTCTGGTGGGGGAATTTCCCAATTGAGGTTTTCTCTTCCCAAATAACATGAAACTATTCAGAACATAAATACATAATAACAATAAAAAAACCTATGAAATGAATTAAAGCTGCCTCTCCAGATGAGGGAGCTAAAGCCCAATAACGTCAACTAACATGCCCAAGATTGTAATAAAGCTAAATTGATCTTAGGAGGCTGGCTCCAGTGCCTGTGTTTTTGAACACATGTCACACACACACACACACACACACACACACACACACACACACACACACACATCTGTTTCCCCTGGAGATGTCACAGTCTCCTGAGTCCCCTGAGTATGGTCCACAGTGGTGGACAGTCTCCCGAACAGACAGGTGAGGGCTCCCCTCAGTTCTCCTGTCCTTGAGATCTTGAGTGTGGCCCGGGGCCATGAAGAGTGATGCTCTTCCATGCTGCTTCTTTGTGGGTCAGAAGGCACGGAGACACACAACCACACACGGAGACACTTAAATGCATGAGGAACAATTTGACCACGAGGGGGATCTGTTCTTCTCCCAGATGTGTGAACCAGGCCTCCTCCTGCCTCCACACGTCCCTGCTTTCCGCCGCTCACTCCCAGGAGTTGATTCAGGTCCTGTTCTTGCCTCTTTCCTGCAGGCACCAAGAGCAGCTCAAAATCATGTTCGTCGGAGGCCCCAATACCAGGAAGGATTATCACATCGAGGAGGGTGAGGAGGTAGGTCGTGGATGCTCGCCCGTGCCATCCGGCTGCCACCTGTGGGGGAGCGGACACTTCTGCCCCAGGGCTAGAGCGAGTCGCCCAGAGAAAAGCAAATATGGCTGCCACAGGAAAGGGAAATGGCTGCCTTAGAATTGGGGTGCCTGCAGGTCTACCTTTGCCTACCTTGTGCCCAGGGAACTCTATTGGGGAGGCCCTGTGTTTGACAGGCTCCTGTGGTGGGGTCTCCACTGTCATGGACATGTGGTGGTCTATACGGATGGTTCTTCTCCTTTGGCCTCCCATATGAGCCACAGACTCCGAGGGATTCCATGGTACTCTGACCCCAGAAGCCAGGCTCTCCCTGTCCGTCACATAAGGAGCAAAGGGTCTAAGGACACAAGGACGCGGAGGGGAAATGTTGGGTGGAAAGGTAACAAGGGAGCATGGGTAGTGCTGAAAAAGGAGTAGGAACAAGGTGGGCCCTCCTTACTTCTAGGGAGTACAGGTCCCGAGTTGCTAGCGGCTCCAATGATTCAGAGTCTGGAGAGTGAATTCTGCGCTTCTACACTCACGTACGGAAGCTACATTAAAAAAAAAAAAAAGCAAAAGTTAAGTGTGATGGTGCACACCTGTAATCCTAACACTCCGGAGGGGAGGCAAAGGGGACCGAGAGTTCAAGGACAGCCTGGGCTGCAAAATGGAAACTTGTTTGAAGAAGGGAGGGACGAAGAGGAGGAGGAGGAGGGAGAAGGAGGAAGGAGGAGGAGGAAAAGGAAGGAGAAGGAGGAAGAGGAGGAGGAAGAGGAGGAGGAAGAGGAAGGAGAAGGACAAAGAGGAGAAGGAAGAGGAGGAGGAGGAGGACAATGAGGAGGAGGAGGAAGAGGAGGAGGAGGAAGAGGAGGAGGACAAGGAGGAGGAGGAGGAGGAAGAGGAGGAGGACAATGAGGAGGAGGAGGACAAGGAGGAGGAGGAAGAGGAGGAGGAGGAAGAGGAGGAGGACAATGAGGAGGAGGAGGACAATGAGGAGGAGGAGGACGAAGAGGAGGAGGAGACAATCACCACTACTACCCCTCCCCAGAGACAGACAGATCCCAGATCCCCCAATATAGATCAGGATGTGGTGGGACAGGACCACTGTAAAGTGCCCCTTATTTTCTGGGAGACCTGGTTCTGGAGTTTGAGCCTCCACCCCCATCACTGGCATCCCACACACCAGCCCAGGACTGTTCATCACCGTGAACCCTTGAGAATGCTCTGTCAGCAGATGCTGAGGGCCCAGGGTGTGTGTTGGGCACCAGACCTGCAGGCAGAGGGTGACGGCCCTGCAGTAGTGCTGCCTGAGCTGAGCAGAACCAGTTCCACAGACCTGGGCCTTCTCCCGGCCACTGAACACTTCTCTGTGAACTTTTCCTGTGATAAAAAAAAAAAAAAAAAAAAAAGTGAAAATCTAAATCTACGGAGGAGAGGCCGGCCATAGCTGAGAGTCTGCGGCGACTGAGGCCCAGCCAGCCTTTCCCGTTTGCCCCCCGTCAGCCTCACCTCCACTCAACGGTTAGGTCTGCCGTCAGTGTCCACCCCGCCTGTCCCCCAACTATCTCTCTCCTTCTTTGCCCAGCTCACCTCAGGGTCTCTCCACGCTGTTCCGGAGGGTGGGTGTTTGTGTCAGCTGGTTTTTATGTCAGCTTGACCCAAGTCAGAGTCATCGGAGAGGAGGGAGCCTTGACTGAAAAAGTACCTCCATAACCCTGTCTCGAAAAACCAAAAAAAAAGTACCCCCATAAGATCTGGCAAGCCTGCTGGGCATTTTCTTAATTAGTGGGAGGGCCCAACCCACTGTGGGTGGTGCCATCCTGGGTTCTATAAGAAAGCAGACTGGGGCCGGGCGGCAGTGGTGCACACCTTTAATCCTAGCACTCGGGAGGCAGAGCCAGGCGGATCTCTGTGAGTTCGAGGCTAGCCTGGGCTACAGAGTGAGTTCCAGGAAAGGCACAAAACTACACAAAGAAACCCTGTCTCGAAAAACCAAAAAAAAACCAGGCTGAGCAAGCCAGGGGAAGCAAGCCATGACCTCTGCATCAGCTCCTACCTCCAGGTTCTTGCCCTGATTGAGTTCCTGCCCTGACTGCCTTTGACAATGAACTGCGATATAGAAGTATAAGCCAAACAAACCCTTTCCTCCCCAAGTTGCCTTGGTCATGCATGGTGTTTCATCATGGCAGTGATAGCCCTAAGTAAAACAGTGTCTTTGAGTCCCTGGGCCAGTCCATGTCTTGATTCATCTCATGGTGTCTGAGAGATGAGAAGGGCTGCCTTCAAGGTAGAGGGACACTTGGTGGCTCAGAGAAGTCTGGCTGGAGCTAGGCTCGTGATGTTTGGACCTGCTCTTTGGTAGGAGGGCAGAGTTTGGTACCTTGCCAGTCCCTGGGCAGCCTCAGAGCAAAGCAAAGGGTCGACATCCTCTCTGTCCATGCCTGTCCTCATCCGGAGCCTGGGCAGTCGCTCTGAGTGATGTTTAAAGCATATCTGGTACAGACTGAGCTAGATTTCCCTTCTTGCCTGAGCTCTGGTCTCTGCAACAGTCCTTAGGTGCCCTGGACCCACTCACCACTCACCCACTTCACGCTTTTTCTCGTGGTTGCCAAGAATAAGGACAGTTGGCTGGGAAGGAGATGAGGTTCCTCTGCCTGTGGAAAAAGGCCATGTGCACGGAGCAGGCACTTACCAGGTGTGGGTGCTTACCTGTTCCTGGCTCCCCCTGCCTGTGAGGTCTTTTCCAGGTCACAGAGGCAGACTCAATTTAATATCTGTGTGAGCAGGTACACTTAATCTCCCAGCTAGCCCTAGGTCTCAAACATCATTTACTTCTCAAGGAGCACACTTCCTTTTCGATTGCCCAGGGCTGTTGTTGATTTTTCTGCTGTCCGGGGGTTTGTCCTCGGCTGCAGGTCAGGCCCGCCCTCATCACAGGGATAGGCCTCTGGGCAGGGGACAGGTCGGGAAAATTCCGCCTCTGCCTTCTAGTTTTGATCGATGGCTGGTAATATCTTGTAGTCGGTCTGGAAAGGGTTTGAATCTGGCTCCTTTCTCCCAAGTTTTCCTGATATTAGCAGGTCCTGGGGACACTAGCCTCTCCCCATAACCCTGAGATACCTCTTCCTCTCCTGTCATCTATCATGAAATGACCCAGGACTTATACTGCAAATTGCTCTCTCTCTCTCTCTCTCTCTCTCTCTCTCTCTCTCTCTCTCTCTCTCTCTCTCTCTCTCTCTCTCTCATACAAGCTCAATTGCTTCCTATGAGAAAACCTAGTAGGTTTTTCTGATTTGTATTAAATAACATATAAGGTGCAAGTGTGTGTGTGTGTGTGTGTGTGTGTGCGCGCGCGCATGCGTGTGTGTTTTGTGGGGGATTAAACTCAGAGCCTCGTACATATTATATAATAAACATTCTGCCATGGAGCTCCATCTTCAATCATATGGCTTGTTTTTAATAATGAAAGCAAATACCATTCACTGTAGAAAATATAAAATATGCAGAAAGAAAACTTTGCCTCACTTATAACCATGAACACTGTCACCTATGCTATCTATGGGCTACTGTGTAATTAGAATCCTCTGGGGTTAATTTTTTGTTTGCTTTGTTTTTTGAGGCAAGCTCTCACTCTGTAGCCCAGGCTGGCCTCAAACTCAACGCAATCCTTCTGCTAATTAGAGACATGAGTCACCACATCCAGCTCATTAAGTACTGATTGGGGTTTTAGGACAGAACAGAAAACTTAGTAGGAGTCCCCTAGAGAAAGCCTGTCGTCAACTCCATCCACCTAGGCTCCCAACTTCCCCAGCCCAGTGCCAGAGCATCTCAATGTCTCCCAGAATCACACACAGTCACCCAACTTCAACTCCAGGACCCACCATCTTAGACCAGCTGCTTTGAGCTTCAACTTTATTTTCTTCAGAATGGGGCTAATGATGATGTTGGGGTTGTAAGATTTCTGATGAGTGTGAAAAAGCCCAGCCTAAGTTAAGGAGTATTTCTACTGCGGAGTCACTGAATTCTCCAGGAAGCTCCTAATCCAGCCTTCTACATCCTACCTCCCAGCCAGGCACCTGCTGTTACATCCTGGGTACCCTGATGGTCACCTACATGTTCCAGATGTGACCCCTGAATGTCTCCAGCTTTCTTGTCTGTGGCCTGGACCAGGGGGTGCAGGGGCCCCAGGAGCTGTTCATAAGCCCTGAGGTCTGCAGGAAACTGTTCCAGTTTTCTGGTCAGAATTCAGGTCCTGAGCAGGAGTTAAGGATCTAAAAGATGGATCAGGGAGGTCCCAAGCTCTTTGTTTTTCCACAGGTATTTTACCAGCTGGAGGGAGACATGGTCCTCCGAGTCCTGGAGCAAGGCAAACACCGGGATGTGGTCATTCGGCAGGGAGAGGTGAGGCTGACCCCAGGGGAAAGAAAGGCCAAGGCCCCATCCTCTGGTCTTCCTCTGAGCACAAACATTCCCTCAGGTTTCCTGGGTAGAGGCTGAGTGGAGAGTAGGGTCCAGGGTGGACAGGCAGAGTTTCCCTGCTGCCCTGTGGGTCACCCAGCATGCTGGGGGCACTGAGGTGACCTCAGGGTGCAGCCTTGCTGGACTCCTGTTCTCCATCCCCACAGATATTCCTCCTGCCTGCCAGAGTGCCCCACTCCCCACAGAGGTTCGCCAACACCATGGGGCTGGTGATTGAGAGGAGGCGGCTGGAGAGCGAGCTGGATGGGCTGAGGTAATTGCTCGTGCCTCGCGGGGCTTGGGTGATCACAGGGTTAACAACAGAGGGGCATAGTTCAAAACTATAGCAGGAAGGATCCATGATAGACTCAAGAGAGCACTTCCTGGCCACCGAGAGACTGGAGGGCTTGGCAACAGGAGGTGATGGAGAACCTGGATTTGCTGGCTAACCAGAGAGGGGAAAGTGGGTTTGGTCATGAGGGAGGAGAGTGCTCTCTGTGGTACACATGAAGATGCTGGCTGGAACTGGTATTTGTGTTTTCCAAAGGTCTGCTAGGAAGCTGGTGGTGGGAAGGGTCGATGCAGACAGGGAATGAAGGAACCTAGAAAGCCACATGTCCTGGTATAGGCAAACACTGCTCCTTCTAGCAGCCTGGGCCTGCAGAAGTTACCCTTGGCCGGTGCCTGCACACACGTGTCTCTACCCCAGATCACAACAAGTACGGACATCTGGCTAGCAACAGCTATGTGCCAGGCACCAGCTAGGAGGGTCACTGTTTATTTATTTACCCTATACTCCCCATGATGCTGGGGGGCTAGGTGCTGCTTTACCATTCTGCTCTTTTTGAAGCTCCGGGGACTGAGAAGAAACTAGGCCCAGGTAAAATAACTTGCTAGACCCGGCATCACAGAGAACTACAAAGCCGGCATCCGTGCTGGATCAGCAAGATGGAGGGGGAAAGTCAGGTTCCATCCCATTTCCCTTGAACCCCTGCCTGCCCCCCATCAGTCTCTGGACCAGTGGTCCTCAACCCGTGGGTCTCAACCCCTTTGGAGGCTGAAACACCCTTTCACAGGGGTCATCTAAGACTATTGGAAAAGCCAGGTGGTGGCGGCGCACGCCTTTAATCCCAGCACTTGGCAGGCAGAGGCAGGTGGATCTCTGTGAGTTCGAGGCCAAGCCAGAGCTACACAGAGAAACCCTGTCTCTGGAGAAAGAAAAAAGGTGGTGGGGGGGGGGGTTGCAGCATCAGGAAGGTTGAGAACCACTGGTCTAGACTATTACGCTCTGAAAGGAGGGAATCCCTCAAGCTCAGAGGACCCAAGATTTTTCTGGCAACCCTGTTTTGAATTTTCAAAGAAAACTTAAATTTCTCAATAAGTCACCAGAATCAGAACACTTTGTCTCACATATCCTGTTATAACGGGCATCTTTAAACACTCATTTTTTCAATGAGTTGAAATCATAGGTATTCCTTCTCAAAGTCTAGTAACATAAGAATTCAAAATGAACTAAATTAAAATGACCTGCCACTAACAGGAGGATTTTATGGTTTGGGAATTTCATTTCATTCTTTTTCACCCCCAAGAAAACAGACCCCAAAGCCCTTTGCCATTCTTCAGTTCGGCATAAAGAAGTGACCTTTTTTTTTTGTTCACACCTCTCCCACATAACCATGCAGTCTTGTTACATGCATGAGCTTAAGGTTTGCTTTGTTTGGTTTAAAAAGAAAAAGAGTTGGTGTTAGAGCCGGTGAGAGGCCAACACAACACCAAGGAGCTTGCTGCCAAGCCTGAGGGCCCCAGTTTGATTCCCGGGACCCACAGGGTGGAAGATGTAAACTTCTGAAAGTTGTTCATAAAATCCTCTTCTGACCTCCACAACCCATCCCACGGTGTGCACACATGCCTCACCCCACCCCCAATAAATAAAGAAAAAAATTCCTGAGGCACTGCAGACTTCTAGAATTTATGCAGTTTGCCTAACTGAAGCCACATGCCCATTGAAAAAGTTTACGAGTATTTCTCATACTGTTAAAAAGTTCCTAATATATATACTGCTAATGGCTGAACCATATGTCTACAGCATAATGGCCCATTGAATAGGCAGATCGCTGGCCTGAATTCTAAAAGGAGTCTCTCTGAGGTGCTTTATGAAGGAGACTCCGGTGAGTTATTGGTGTCCTCAATAACATTTTACAGCAAATTCAATAACGGATTTCATCTGGCTGCTTTTGACCTTTAATAAAAGCCAGGGACTCAACATTAAAATGCCACCCCGAAGGCCCTTCCTAAGGGCACTGCAGCCCCACAGTGAAGCTTTCTGGTGGCCAATTCCGTCTCGGGGTAGAACCTGGGTGGGTGCATGGTGTGTCTCTAGCCTGTCTCTCCCCGTAGGGCTGTCCCTGCTTTTCTGGTGAGAGTTGAAAAGCAGACACAGAACTGGCCTGGTCTGGAGCTGGTTCAGGGAGTGGGCATTTTGGAGACAGTAGCTCCCAGCCCCTGCCTTGTGCTACCTGCGTAAGGGCCAGTGGCACCGCACAGCTCTGCCTGCCCAGGTGTTCCCTGGCTGCCGGGATGTGGGTGGTTGCAGGGGTGACTGAAGACTCTGTGTGTGTGTGTGTGTGTGTGTGTGTGTGTGTGTGTGTGTGTGCGCTCGCGCGCCAGAGAAAGCCAGAGCTATGCACAAGTTCTAAGATGCAGAGGTGACCTCCGACCTCTGAAACAGAAGAATCCTTCCCTCATGGGGGGCGGGGGGGTTGATGCATGCGTGTGCGCATGCGCCGCATTGGCTGTTCAGCGTATGATAACCCAGAGCCCAAAGAACAAACTTCAAGCTGCCCCGAGACTTGGGCTCAGCTTCGACTTCCTTTTGCTAAAGACAAACACACTTGGAATGACCGTTCTCCAAGCTTCTGTGCTGAGGGCAGTCTGCTCAGCCACGTTTAGGCTGTGTAACCCCTCCCGAGTCCTTCTGCTTCCGGGCGGAGTTCTGCCTGCCTCGCACATGCCCTGTATAAGTGTGATCCCTGGGCTGTGCCAACAGATGTGACAAAGCCACATAGCTATGCAGTGCCTGGGCTCAGAGAGGGACCCTTAACCAGAGCCCAGCCTAGACCGAGCTGCCCTAAAGCTGCCCAGATGGAGAATGGATTACCTTGACCTCGGTTTTGACAGGTACTATGTTGGGGACACTGTAAATGTCCTCTTCGAGAAATGGTTCTACTGCGAGGACCTTGGAACACAGTTGGCCCCCATCATCCAAGAGTAAGTCACCAGCTTGGCCCCACCCCCCTCACCTCCACTGTCCTTCAGTTCTGCAGGGCCCACTGGCCTGGATCCATCAGGCTTGAGAGTTAGAGAGAGTCTCTGACATCGGGGGATGGGATGAAACGCCCTGCAGGGTTGGGAGGGAAGGTGTGATTGGGTGATCAAGTCATGTGAGGGTCTGTGAATGTGTACTGGCTCTTGCGTATGGTGTATGCCTCCCTGGCCTCTTAACAGGAATGCTGCCATTCCTTCTCCTGTCTGTCTGTCTGTCTGTCCCTGCAGGTTCTTCCGCTCTGAGCAGTACCGAACAGGAAAGCCTGACCCTGGTGAGGCCTCTGACAGTCACATTTTCCTTCCCTTTCTCCCTCTCTCCCTCCCTGTAGTGGGATGGGTTTTGACCCAGGGACCCAGGAGCCTCTTCCTGAGTCCTCCGCCCAGGACTTAAAGTTCTGAGTAAACGACACCAAGTGGCAACCCCATATGGCTGTTCAACCACTAGGCTGCACACAAGACCCATATCTGCTATTGAGTTAGGGCTCCTGGGACCCGGCTCTACTGGGGCTAGGTGGGCTGAGCCTGGAGGTCTCCGCTCATCACTGTGTCGCTGGCACAGACCAGCTGCTCAAGGAGCCGCCATTCCCGATGAATACCCGATCTGTCATGGAGCCCATGTCACTGAAGGCATGGCTGGATGGCCACTCCAGGGAGCTTCAGGCAGGCACATCCCTCAGCCTGTTCGGGGACACCTATGAGACCCAGGTAATACAGCTCAGGGCACTGAGCAGCCATCCATCTGTCATCTGGGAAGTGGGAAGTGTATGTGTGTGTGTGTGTGTGTGTGTGTGTGTGTGTGTGTGTGTGTGTGTGTGTGTGTGTGTATGTGTGTGTGTGTATGTGTGTGTGTGTGTGTGTGTGTGTGTGTGTGTGTGAGAGAGAGAGAGAGAGAGAGAGAGAGAGAGAGAGAGAGAGAGAGAGAGAGAGACTTCAGAGGCTTGAGAATGGCCTTCCTGTTCCCTCTCTGTCTCTGAGAGAATGGTGTGACTGGAATTCTCTGGTAGCTTTATGGTCCCATGGACACTTTACTTTAGAGTGGGAGGTTCTTTGCCCATTGTCAGCTTCCTGGGTGCCTGCCACTTACCTACCCCTGGGCTCTTGGCACACAGGAGCTTGGAAACTCAAGGGAAAAGTTATGTGGTAGAGGGATGGGCAGCAATGTGTAGAGACCCTAAAAGCTGGCCGTTTATGGACTATTGCTGCTGTGTCAGAACAAGACATTTGCTATGGACAAATTCACCCACTGCTGCTGGTCATGTGACAGCTTATTTCCTAGAGAAACCACAGGAAATCCTAGGAGAAAGGGAAAAAGTCAAGGAAGGCTCCTGGAGGAGGTGGTGTGTATATAGAATTTTTTAATTTAAAAAAAAATGTAGGTTTATTTATTTTATGTTTGTGTGTATTGGCTTACATGTGTGTAAGCTCATGCCTGGTGCCTGTGGAGGCCAGAAGAGAGTGTTGGACCCTCTGGAATTGGAGTTACAGATGCTTATGAACGACCATGAGGGTCCTTTGTGAGAACAAGTGCTCTTAACCACTGAGCCATCTCTCCAGCCCCCAAGTAGAATTGTGAAGCAGGTGTAAAGGTTCGCAGGAGGAAGGAAGGGAGGTGATGGAACATTCTCAGGAAGGGAGAAACATAAAGTCACAAGGGACTGAAACAGCCTTGCCCTGCAAGCCGCTGAGGCTGGCCAGAGCTCGGTGGGGAAGCAGGGATGAAAACTGGACTACTAACTGTTCCTGGAACTCTGCTGAGCTGGACTGAGGGAGGGAGGGGACATGTCCCAGAGACAGTGGGGCTGCACCCGGGTGTTGAGTGAGGAGGCTAGAGTGGCATTTCAAAGCTGTCATCTTTCCTTCCTGAGGCTGGGTCAGAGGACAAGGTGTAACAGGGAGACCACCAAGGATGCTGGTAGTCACGTGTGCGGTAACTCGCCAATGGCACCGCCTGTATGGTTAGAGATAGTCACTCCGGGTCAGCAAGATGGCTCACTGCATACAAGTACTTACTGTGCTGGCCTTTGATCATCCCGCACAGAGATGGGAAGAGAGAACTGATTCGGTAGGTCATCCTCCGATCGACAATGCATGTGTGCCCACACATCCATGTCACATGCTCACACATGCTGGTGATGATGATGATGGTGGTGATGATCATGGAGGGGGAAAAGGAAGAGGAGGAGGAGGAAGAAAAATCTCACTCCAGGACAGGAAGCCCACGGAGTATAGGCTTGGACCACTTTTTCAGAGCCAGGGACACCCAAAGCTTATGTAAGGCTGTGATAAAGGCACACAAAGCCCGAAGCCCCTTCTGCCCATCACAGCTGTGGCAATGGCTTCCTCCCACCCCCTGTCTACCTGCTCTAGTTTACCGTAGCAAATATCTATTAACCCCTAGGACAGCCAGCAGGAGCACCAGCCCTCCGTGGCCATGAGGCCAGTAGACCTCAGCCTCTCTCTTTTCTTTCTCAAGTCAGACTCTGAACACCTCACAGGAAGGGTGGAGGAAATCTGGGGAGCTGGGGTGAGTGTGTCTGAATGTGAGCAGGTGACATGCTTGCAGAGGAACCACAGGGGCCCCTGTGTGTGGTCATGACTGTGAATAATGAGCAGGCAGCACCTGCTGCCAGGCAGGTGGCAGAGGCCCTCCTTTCTGATCCCTGACAAGCAAAGGCTTGTCATGTGTGAGGCTGTAGTATTGTCCAGTCTTGCCCCTTGAAGGTCACAGCGGTTGAGAGCCAGGGTCGGGATGACCTCCTGAATGGGGCAGGATCCCCCCACCCCCCAAAGTCTACTTTGTCTCCCACCAGGTCATCGCCCATGGACAAGGTAGCAGCAAAGGCCCAAGAAAGGATGTGGACGTGTGGCTGTGGCAGCTGGCAAGTGGGATCCCAGGACAGGGTGGCACCTGTCCATGGAGATTGGGTTGTTCCCGGGCCTCAGGTTCCCACAGTGGGCCATACTGTCAGAGCCTCCTGGCAAGGCGAACTCGGGACGTTAAAGCGGGTATTGAGGCCCGTCAGTTTCCCCCGACTCTTTTGTTGTTCTGTTTGGTTTTGGGGTGTTGGGGGTGGAACCCAGGGTGAGAGCTCTGCCATTGAACCCCCAACACACACACACACACACACACACACACACACACACACACACACACACAAACACATACACACATACACATATACACACACACATACACATACACACACACACATACACACACACACACACACACACACACACACACACACATTTTTCTTATTTTGAGACAGGGTTTCGCTGAGTCACTCAGGCTGGCCTTGAACACAGTCTCACAGGCCTCCATTTGACTCTGCTGCTCTTCCACAGGAGGGCTCATCCACGGTGACAATGGGCGGACAGCATGTGGCCCTGGCCCCAGACGACAGCCTGCTGGTGCCCGCTGGAACCTCGTGAGTACCATGCCAGGACTTTCTGAAACTGTGTAACTGACCCTCTTTCCCTGGGATCTTCAGGCTCCGGCCTTGCCTGACTCTTGCCTATCTGTGTCTCCACAGGTACATGTGGGAGCGAGCACAAGGCTCGGTGGCCTTGTCTGTGACACAGGACCCTGCCTGTAAGAGGCCACTGGGGTGACCCTCGTGTGTGGGCCCCAAGAAGTCACAGGGTGCCTGAGTGCCATCTTGGCGGCTGCCCTAGCCTCCTTGCATCCTCGTGGACATCACCAAGCACCTCAGCCTGCCCTTGGCTTGGTGGTGGCTTTTCACTGTCATGTACCCTCCTGCCATCCTTGGTCCAGGGTGTCAGACTCCCAGGGCACCGGTGATTCCCCTCTCTCCTAACAGCCATAGCCCTATGCTGTTCAGCTCGATGTGTGTTGTCCCCACAGACCCACCAGCCTGCCACTGAGACATCTCTCAATAAAGGCATCCTAGTGAACGAGTGCTTGTAGGTTGTAGGTGGCAGAGCCTGTGTTCGCCTGGGGTGTGTTGCAGCTGGGGTTTAGGAACGCCAGTGACCTTAGAGCATTAGAGGGACTATTACTGTGTGTCACCACCACTGGTGGATGGGCATTTCTCACTGTGTGTGCCACCCTGACCCACACATGAGCTGGGGCCTGCCGTGGTTGTATTGCTGAGTGCGTCTCGGTCTCATTCTCTGTTCCCATTCATTCATTCATTGGTTAACATAACAGAACCAGCAAACCCCCACTCTGTTGAGTTTCTTTCTCTAGCGCAGAAGTCATTTATGCTAACTGTGGAAAGGAGAAATCTTTAAAACACAATTCCCCGGTCCCAGAGTTAATGACTAGTCAGAACTTCTGCAGGTGGAGGTATGGGAAGTGGGACATCATGGGACATGCACAGCCTTCCTGGGCAGCCTGGGCTCAGTGAAGGAGGGACTTCATCGAGAGGCTGGAAGTACCGAGCCTGCATCTGCACAGAACAGGCGTGGGCCTAGAGGCAGAGGTTCCTCTAGAAAAGGGAACTAGAACCCTGTCTTCCTACCCTAGTCTGGTGGCTCACGGCTCCGACACACTCTACTGGAGGGCAAAGAGGACCTGACTTGGCTGAGGGGTGTTCTGCCCCTGAGAGATACATCATCAGCCCCTGCCTTTCTACCCCAAAACTTTGCTGTAAGCAAAGAAGGATCACACTGGTGCCTCTAAATGTCCACTGTCCAGGGTGGCCTGGTCCAAGCTTGGCTGCACCGGTGTGCTGCTGTGTGCCGGAGCTGGGAAGAGAAGAACATGGCGTGTCTAGAGATGCTCTAGGGTCAGAACAGAGAAGGGGCGGGCTCCATCTGTCAGCAAAGGACAGCCAGGCTTCCTCATTCTCTCCTCTCGACTCTCCATGAAGGTGACAGCACCCGATTTTACAGAGGACAATTTTATTAGAGTTTAAAAGAAAATCCCAAAAGCGGGCAAGCTGTAAATCTCGGCAGCTGCCGTTCGAGTTGGGCCAGTTTGACTGGCAGCCGAGTGGCAGAGAGGAAGGGAAGGGAAGGTTCAGGGACGGTAAGGAAGCCAGGATGGTAGAGAGAGTATGCTTAGAGCCATGAGAGGAAGAGAGGAGAGCTATGCTGTTCCTGACGAAAAGACTTACACGGTAATCCGGCTGCAACTCCGAAAGCAGCCGTGCTAGGGTGTGGGAATTCTGGGAAGGAAAATGCATCATCTCACTAGAGGAACAATTGTCCCTCCTGTCCCTTTAGCATGGCTTAAGGTATGTCTACCTTCCTACAACATGGCCCCTTAGCCAAGGGATTGACCTGCCCAGCTGACTGCTAGATCTCCGCCCCAGGCCAGCGAGAGTTCATTTTCTCGACCGGAAGGAAATAGTTTTCCCTTTACTGCTACAGTGACATTGACGACAGCCTGAGTTCCTGGATGGGGACCTCAGGTCTCCAGGGTTCTGGGTCTTGAGTATGGCACCTAATCCCCTCTCCACAGTTCCCTCTGGGGTTTTAGTCCACTCTACCCAGCCTGCTTGAATCATGCCGAAGGTCTCAGGGTTGGAGTCCAGGAGGGAGGCGTAGTGGAGTAGAAGAAAGAGAGAAAGCAGGCAGGGTGGAGGCAGGCTGAGAGACAATAGGATGCGTGTGTTTTGAAACCACTTTGCATGGTGTCTGTACCCACTTCCCTTTTCTGAAAACTCACCAGTGATCTCAGTGGAAAGCCAGATTAGCAGGAAGGGCTGTGGGCCACCTAAGCAGCCTCCAGCTCGCTTGTGTCCTGGCTGCCTTTCTGTCCAAACTGTCTTTTCCTCCATCTGCCCCCTCCCTTCACTTTTCCACACTGGTATAGCCCCTCCACGGCCCTTCTGCCCTGGCAGAGCCATTCTTCAAGGCTGCCCCACCAAGGAGTAGAAGGCCAAGCCCAGGCCAGCCAACCTCAGCCTGAGACTGAACATTTCCAAGTCAGCTGCCTCCCCTGTAATGGAACAGCAGGCACGTTGTGGGCCACCCAGAGTGCCTGTCATCCAGGTGTCTACCCAGGTTTGTGCTCCACAGGATCAGAGCAGCTTGGGTGTTGGAGGGGGACCACACTACCGTGGAATAATCCCTTTGTACACTGGGAAGATTTGTGACTGTGATCGGTTTAATAAACAAGCTGACTGGCCAATAGCTGAATAGAAGAAGGCTAGGTTGGAAAGACAAACTGAGAATTCTGGGAAGGAGAAGGGAGGAGTCAGGAGTCACCAGCCAGACTCAGAATGAGTCGGACACACAAAATGGGATAGGGGTAAAAGCCACTAGCCTCGGGGCAGCACACAGATTAATAGAAATGGGTAAAGTTGTAAGAGCTAGTTAGTAACAAGCCTGAGCTATTGGCCGAGCATTTATAATTAATATAAGTTTCCACATTGGTCATTTGGGAGCAGGTGGTTGGGACAGGAAAACTCCACCTACACCCCATGTCATCGCCTCCATCCCCACCTTCTGGAAACCTTTTTGCCAACACCTCTGCCAACACCTCTCTCTGAGTCCCATCTCTACAACCAGCTGCTGTTTCAGCCCAACCTAATGTAATGACTAGATACCCCATGTCTGCATTGCTGGTTTGCCCACCTAGAACAGGCACAGGGCTGCCTTTGAGTAGTCCCTGGGGAGGGTGTGGACCCAGCTCCCAGCCAGTCCTGGAGCCTTCCCGTGGTTCTGACGATATGCTCAGGCTCTCACTGAGCTTGCCAGCACCCCCTCCCCTCCACGGGAGCCTGCCAGCCCTGCTGCTGCCTGCCCCAGCTTCCCCAGGGCTGCCTTCTCTAAAGGGCCCTTGCCCCCCTGAGGTGGACCTTAGGCTGCCACCACCATTCCCGGGGAAAGTAGGGCACCCTTGGTCTGGCCCCGTGTACCTTTCTCTGGTCATGCTCCTCCATTTGTGGAATGGAAACTATGACCAGCTATAGGATGGAAGATGGAAATAAGCCAACACCAGAGCACCAAGGAGGAAGGTACCTCTGGGGGAGCAGGAAGGGAATAAGAGGGGAGGAAGAATGGAGAACCATCTGCTCCCTACAGTAAGAAGAGCAGCACTCCAGGGTTTTGAGGTGAACTGGAGACGTTGGGGCTCTAACTCATAACTTTTAAGCCTCTCTCTTCCTCCCAGTATAACCTGCTCCCATCCGGGGCACAACACAGCAGCATCCATTGCTTTCCTCCCAGGATTCCTGTATAGTGGGTGAGTGGAGCAGGAAAGCGAGGGGCCAGGAGTCATTAATTCATCCAGCATTTACTGGGCCTCCCACAGGCCACACATAGCTAGAGGCTGTGTGTAGAGCGTTGTACTCTGACCTTAGGCTGTGATTCCTGGCAAAGGCCTGCACACAGACCCTAGCAAAGAGCACACAGCATCAGAGCTCAAAGGCACCACCCGGCTGAGGGGGGGGGGGGGGATGACTGGTGAGGACTGGGCAATGCGCTCATGGCAAGGCTGGTAGAAGAGCAGGTTTGGAGGAGAACAGAAAGGGTTGAGCCTCAGTGCACGGTGTGGAAAGCCTCCAGGGAGACAACACACAGGAGTACCCTCAGAGCTGGACCGGGAAGGCAGAGGTAATGGTCGTGGATGACATTCTTAGTAAGAGAGTGAAATGGACCAAGGCGCATCTTTTAAAAGTCCCTGCAGGTAGGGGGCACACACAAAATGAAAGACCCAGAAAAATGTTCAGAAGAAAGCTTTCAATAGACGATGCGGGGCCGTAGCAAGGAAGAGAGAACATTAGGGAAGGCAATCTCTTTGCCCACGTAGAGAGATTTCCATTAGAAAAGATGGAATAAAACCACCATTTGTGAAGGGAAAGTGCCTCATGCAAGAGCAGAGCATTTTCAAAAGTGCTGTCTAACTGCCTGAGGCAGGGAAGCTGGTCTGTGAGGCCAAGTGCACGGGCAAGCGTGCTGTGTCCAGCATCTGGAGTGGACACCCAAGTTGGCAATGCCTGGCCAGTACTGTATTAAAAAAAAAAAAAAAAAAAAAAAAGCTTTTCAAGACATGACCACCGGTAAGCTAGGTGTGGTGGCACATGCCCAAGAAGACTAGGGGTTCAAGGCCAACCTGTAGGGGAGGGACAGCTAGGAGTGATCTAACTGTGTCTCTGAGGAGATGATAAAGAGGTCAACGCAAGAAGGAGGGGGCGACCACAGCTCTGAGTGCTCGAGACGCTCAGACGGGACGACACTTAGACTTTTGGCGCTCTAGACAGTCATTAGTGACTTTATTGACAGCAAGTTCTGTGAGTGGCTGGGCCGGAGCAGAATGGAAACCATAAAGTAGTGTAATGGGTTGAGACATTAATGAGGTTTGAAGTAATGGAGACACACGTCTCCTCTTCCGGGTATTTTGCCAGTAAAGGGAGACAAAGTGAGGTAAGCTGAGGACCGGGGTTTTGGTGGTTTGAGTGTTGTGTCGTCTTGTGGACCCAACAGAGAAATTTAAATATAGTTTCAGGAGGAGGAGGGGGAGGAGAGAACAATGGTAGGAATGAGCTAACAGTGATAAACACTGTGTACCAAGCTCTGTTCTAAGCATCACACATGTACTAATTTCTGTAGCCCTGAGATCAATGCTATTATCCCATTTTACAGATGAGAATTTAGAGGCACAGATAGGTTGGGTGACTTTCCCAAGGTCCCACAGCTAGTAAGTGGTAGGTCTGGCTCGAGTCTGGATACTCTGAAGTCCTAAAGGGAGTGGGTGTGTGAATTCAGCCCGTGTATAGCAGGGAGGTGTGTCCTTGAGAGAGAAGGGCCCCTTCTCAGCCAGGGAATGACCCTTGGAGAAAGCTGACTTCTGAGGAAAGATTCTTAGAAGACTCGGCTCTGTAGGATGAGGCATTAGGGCATGGCACAGGATCAAAACACCTGGTTCTTGGAATATGAGAAAGGTTCCCGAGGAGAGCCCACAGAAGGGTCCCTGAGCATGGTGCCAAAGGGGGCCTGGAGAGTCGGGCACCGCAGCTCTGTTCCTGTGACTTTATGCTCTGTTAGCTGAGAAATTTTGGCTCGTTGATATGAGGACATTTCTGGATATTTCCAGGAGCTGCAACCAAACACTCTGTTGAACTGGAAGTTAATGGCCAGCATGATGGTTCAGTGGATTAAGGTCACTTGCCACCAAGCCGGATAATCTGAGTTCTGTCCTAACACCTACATGGTGGAAGGAGAGAACTGACTTCTACAAGTTGTCTACACACACACACACACACACACACACACACACACACACACACCATGGAACACGTGCACCAGCATACACACACTACATAAATTTAAGTTTTAAAATATGATTTGGAAAGTAGGTCTGACTTCCTCCTGGACACTTTGGGCTCCTGATGTCTTTGAGTCAAGTGACTAAGACAGGACTCACAGTACTGGGAAGAGCTGTTGAGCTAGACTATGGGGAGAAAATGGATCGCTTTTCCATAAGGGCAATAAGATAGAGTATGTCTGGAGTGCAAGAGATCCTCACAAGGGCGATAAGACAGAGTATGTCTGGAGTGCAAGAGATCCTCACAAGGGCGATAAGACAGAGTATGTCTGGAGTGCAAGAGACCCTTTGGGGTGTACTCTCTTAGTGTCACCGTGCCCTGTGACTAAGGTCAATGGGAAATGACAACATCCCAGTCTAAACAGGATACATGGCTCAGACAGATCCTTCAAGAATGGAGGAGTGAGAACCAAGACCTGCTGAGGTCCTTCTGAGAGTGGAGGAAATGCAGAATGGGTAGTAGAGGAAGATAAGCTATAAATACCAGGGGAGGCCATGTGACCAGTTACAGAAACAATGACTGCAACTGCCGTTGGGTGTCTCTGTCTTACTGTGTTAAAAATAAGTTTGTTTGAAACCCGAATGCTACAGTACTGATCTGCCAGATGGGATGTGCCCACCGGTACAAGAGTGGCATGAAGGCTGGGGGCAACCAACTGCTCTCTGACTGAATATGAGATCTGCTACCCAGGAGGTCTGCTACCTCATGCCTGCTATCAACCTGGTCAAGAGATCCTCACAAGGATCTGGTCAGAAGCCCATGGCTGGGGGCGGGGCCTAAGTTCTCGAGGGGAGCCTACTACAGTTGACTTGCTAAATGGTCATGTTGTCGCATTACCTTCTAAATATTGATTGTTCTATCCATAGATTTGTGCTGCTGTCGTCAGCCTTGACCAGAGAAGCTTCTTTTGGCAGTGGCCGTGTGTCGTGGAATATTAACTCAAGATGTATTACATGTGTTTACGCTGTGGAACATTTGTTTAATGGTGCAAAGACGTGTCCCATTTGTTTGATGAAATAAAATTAACCCGGGGTCAGGAGGCTGAGTCAGCAACCAGCTGACAGGAAGTGGAGAGGGATGGAAGTCTAGAGGCAAGGGGTACATGGGATAATTAGCTAAGAAGAGCTGGTTAGAAATATGCCAGGCCAAGGCCGGGCATTCATGAGAGAGAATAAGGCTCCGTGTGTGATTATTCGGGAGCTGGGTGGCGGGCCCCCTTAAAAGAGCCAAAAGAGTAAAGAATAAAAACCAGCAGCAGTGGCAGGGGTGGATATAGAGATGCATAACTGACTGGTCAAAGAGCTGGGGAACAGTAACTGTGGGTCCTTTGTCCGAAACAGGACAGAACAATCTCCCCCAACCCCAAGGCGCACACATATGTCAGGGCCAGGGCATGGGGAGGAGTGTTGTGATATAACGCGGCCATTATACTCAGGAGCTTGTGGTAGCTGCAATTACCTGCCCAACAGTCCAGCCTAGATGGGGGAGGGGCCCATGAGGAGCCATCCGTGCAGAAGAGCTCTTGGCAGCTGACCGCTGCGAGGCGAGAAAAAGTCATTTTTCTTTTCTTTAAAAATTACTTTTGATTAATTAATTCATTTATTTGTGTGTTCGTTTGTTTATTTATTTTGTTTTTTCGAGACAGGGTTTCTCTGTGTAGTTTTGGTGCCTGTCCTGGATCTCACTCTGTAGACCAGGCTGGCCTCGAACTCACAGAGATCCATCTGGCTCTACCTGCCGAGTGCTGGGACTAAAGGCATGCACCACCACCACCCAGCTTAAAAAATACTTTAGGTTTATTCTTATTTTATGTGTCTAGATGTCTTGCCCACGGGTCTGTGCACCATGTGTATGCACTGTCCACAGAGACCAGCAGAGGGTGCCAGATCCCATGAAACTGGAGTGACAGACGGTTGTTAGTGGCCATGCGGGTGCTGGGAATCCAACCTGGGTTCTTTGCAAGAGCAGTCAGTGTTCTTAACCCCTGAGCCATCTCTCCAGATCCCAGAAAGTCATTTTCTTTGGGAGTGCTGGCAGGTTACCTTGGCTCCAGCAGCAGATCCCATACCTGTGCATACACAGGCCCCACAGATCGGATTCAGTGGGTTGTAAGGGAGAAAAAAAAAGACATGAAGTTAGAGACAATGTCCAGAGGGAGTTGAATGTGATAAAATTACATTGTATACATGTATGAAATGCTCAAAGCATAAATAAAATACTATATAAAAAGAACGCTTATTCACTCAGCAGATATTTGCTTTTCTTCATTTATATAGTGTAATACTGAGATGATATTCACATGTACGTGCTGTAAATATATATCATCATACCTAAGTTATAGGACACTAAAAGGCTAAGCATTCCTCAAGGGACTTCGGCACTTATTCGGGGGTGGGGACAGTATGTTTGTAGTCGTATGTAAGACAGTTATATCATTTCAGGTGGAATTATGACTTTGTTATTGTTTTCATTTAGAAAGTAAGAACGGCATCAGGAAATGTGATTGTCTAGTTGACAAGGGAGCCAATCTAATAAATCCCCTTTTCGTATCTACTGTTGCTGGGCCGAAGAAATGGCTCATCAGGTAGGGTGCACGCAGCCAACCTAATAGTCCCGAGTTCTATCCTCAGGACCTCCGTAGTTAGGAGAGAACTGCGGGGAGTTATCTCCAATCTCCATACGTGTTTCATGGTACACATAAGTACACATGCATGCATACATACATACATACATACATGCATGCATGCATACATACATGCATGCATACATACATACATGCATGCATGCATACATACATACATACATGCATACATACATGCATGCATACATGCATACATGCATACATGCATGCATACATACATACATACATACATACATGCATGCATACTTGAAGAAAAAAATAAATAGTACATATTTAAAAACCAATACCTAGACAACCCCAACAAACACACTGTTTACTTCGGTTTTGCCTTTTAATCACTTATCACGTAGCCCAGCAAACCAGGGTCCTACACACGGCCTGGAAGGGTCTCAGGTGAGCCTCCATTTACTTTCCCCCATAATTGTCTCAGCGGGGCAACTGAGGCAGTGTGCTCAAACCGTCACCTGATAGGGCAGCCCCAGGCCAGGGCACAGCAATTTCCTCTGCAGCTCCCCAAGCACCCCGCATGTGCCCCCAGGACACAGTGGTAGCCACGGCAGTGCGGGAGTGACTCCGTGGGTGACGAGCCGGGAGAGATCTGCCTGTTGCTCCCACCTCTGAACCTAAGTGGCACAAAGTCAAAGGCACTTATTTGGGGGGTACAGCTTCCTGGAACTACCACGTCCTCAGGATGTGGCTGGTGAGACAATACCAGCACATTCAACCCGGGAGAAAGGTGGCTGAGGGTTTGAGGGTGGCCTGTTACCTGGTCTAGACTCTGGGAGCAAGCAGAGGTGCAGAGTCCTTTAGATGAGGTCCTCCAGACACCAAAGCCTGGAGAAAGTGTGAGCAGAGCCTCCCAGCTGGGCCACTGGCCCGGGAAAGGACATCGTGACACTAGGTATGATTTCCAGAAATTTATTGGAAACACAATACAAACTGACATGTAGATAGCCTCTCCTACAGACAGACAGGCCACACTGGCATGGCGTGGGAGAGGGCTTTCCCGAGCACTGAGGCCTGCTCTGGTTAGTGCTCATGGCAAGGGGGAACCAGAGACTCGGAGGAGAGGAACAGGCAGGCGGGGCACACAGAAACCAGGACGTGGCTTTCCAGGAGGAAGCACAGGCAGGGCGTTTTAGTGGGCAGATTCCTCCAAAGGAAAGCAGGGACAATTGTAAAGAAAGGCTTTCTCTTGCTCTGTTGTCCCCAACAGAACGAAAACAATCTATAAAACCCAAGCAGGCCACTCCTGCACCTCCTTCCCCAAGGTCTTAGCACTGCCGAGGACCGGCCAAGCTCTGAAGACACACAGCGGTGCACCTGCCACAGGGCTGCTCCTCATCAGCCCTCCCCAGCTCTCCCCTGCTGCATGCTGGGGGCTGAGCCTGCAAGCTCCCAGGGTAGTTGGCTTCTTGCTGGAGCCAGCTAGTGGGGGGGGGGGGGGGAGACCAAAAAAACCCACAGGGCGGGAGGGAGAGGCCAAGTTCTTTCTCCCCTCTGACTCCTCATGGCTTTGGCTCCTTCCCAGCGGCCCTGACCTATGGTAACACGGCCTCTTCACTGTGTACAGCTGACCTGTGCTTCTTCCCCTGAGCCCTGCTCTTCCTGCTTCTGTATGAATCCTAAGAACAAGTTTTGCTTTCCTGATTGGGCCCTGAGTGACAGACACTGGGCCACAGGCAAGGCAGTACTGTGGGAGCTTCCAGCAACTTCCTTGGGTCCCACTCTTCTGCACACCCTTAGTTTATTAGAGTGGTGGCAATATCCGGGGACAGAAGGGACGCCTTCTTGTGTCCTCCCAGGGGGTCTAGCACTACTGTGTGCCTGTGAAGATAGCCTGTTCGCCCACTCATCTGTCACTGAGCAACAGGGACATGCCATTGACATACACAATGGCAGCATTGTGGGCACCCAGAAAGGCTGTGCCCGGAAACCCTCTCAGCACCACGTGCTCAGAAAGACAAAGGCAAAGGACCGGGTCCCTGTCTTATTGACCCTGGAGCATTCCTTCAGCATTCTGGGTCTTCCCAGTTATCAGGTGGAACAAAAAAAAATGCTTAGTTACGTCGGGAGACAGGGCTACAAAAGCCAGCTCTCACAAACAAGGAGAGACAGAACATTCTGGGTCCAAGGGGCTCAAAATGAGCTGTGCTTTTCCCAAAGCTGACCGTGACCTAGGCTAGGGCAGGCCTCCTGTGCCTCTCTACCAGCCCTGTGGAGGACCTTCTCCAGATCTCCCGGACCTGGTAGAGAGAATGAAGCCTCAGCAGTCAGGGTGACTGACGGTTAGCAGGGTGAGCTGTCGGTCACTCATTGACAACAGGGTAGAAGAGGAAAGCGAACAGGGAGGCAAGAATTCCTCCCCATGTCTGTAGGCCACACGAACCCAGGGTGGGGCCAGAGACGCCATCCTCTTATCTCCTTTTCCTCCGGAGAAGAAATACCCCAATGGTCGGCTGCTCCATCTCTTGGGTCTTTGCTGATGGGAACACTATAGGGAAGTGACCCCACCCACACCTGTTTCATGGAGCACCGCTGACCAAGCCCCAAGGTCCCAAGCCATGGCCCAGCCATGGTGGGAACTTGTCACAGCTGTGTAGAGGCCTATAACGAAAAGCAATTCCTCCCTAGAGAGTCCTGGGAGAGGACAAGGCAGCTGGAACTCTGACCACTGTCCTCGGCCACACACCCCTTCTCTCTGCTGCATGGAACACCGACTTCCAGACATCAAATCATTTTTGTGACAACTTATTCTTCTTGGTGGGTGGGTGGGGGCGTCAGTTCCAGCTGTGGCCACCCTGTCTTGCAACCATCTGCTTGGGAGTCCCTCCTCCCAGCCGCCCAGCTGCTTTAAAACACAGGCCCCAAGGTGGCTGCAAGGTCAGATTCTATTTGTCTTGTCAGTACTGGGACTCTGTGCTCCACAGCCTGTCCCTGCTAATGGAGAGGTGGCCACGTCCTCTGCTCAGGGAGTTACTTTGGTGACTGTAACTGAGTGTGGAGGCTGGCAGAGGAGCCATCTAGGATGCCACTGAGGGCTTGGATCCAGGGCAATAAAACAGGCAGGTCTCCAGGGGCCCCGGCACACATGCTCACTAAAAAGCTGGAGGAGTGAGGGATCACAAAGCCACCTACATCGATTCATATCTACAAATAGGATTTCCATCCTTTACCCCACCCCTCAGGCCCAACAGAGTCTACTTAAAATAAAATGGGGGGGGGGGAGATTTGTGACCCACTAAAGGATCCCTCCAGCCCGGCTACAGATCTTTGTCAGCTGGTTTAGCTATAAGGGAAGAGGGCAGGAAGCCAACAGCTTGTCACAGTGATGGCGCACGCTTGGCACAATTAACACCCGCTTTCTGTGGGGCGCCCCAGGACCGAACGGAAACCAGTTCAACCCAGCGTCTCTCCAGCGACAGAGCAGATGCGGAGAGCCGCTTGCAGGCTGGCCAAGGTCAAGAACCGTCTGCTCCCCAGACCCTCGGGCCCCACAGAGGGTGGGAGTAAACCCTGCGTGGGATGCAGAAAGAGTCATTTCCTCCGTGAGGAGAGAAAGGCAGCCTATTGAAAAAAGCCGAGAGACACAATAGCAAAGGCAGGGCCATGTTAGGAACCGCAGGAAGAGCGGCACATCCTGAAGGAGAAGCCGCTCAGAAAGATGCCATGTCCCTCCTGTGCATCACTTCACAGCAGGAAACAGTAGGGTGGGCACATGCAGGGCAGTGGGGCTCCGGGCTCGCAGCAGCCTCCATGGCTGAGCTCCAGCTCCTGGGAGTTGGGAACTGGGAAGTAAGGAGGCTGGCTAGTGGCTCCCTGCTCGCCTCAGTTCTCAGACACGTCCATTCTGGGACAGCAAGGTCTCTGGGAAGGAAGCTAGGTGTCTCTGGTTCACACACGGAGTCGCGGATACGGACGGCGCGCTCCTACAGTTTCTCCCCGGCCCCTCTAGGACGCCAAGGGGTGTACTCGGAGCTCTCCCACTGAAGGAGCCACCTTCTTTCCAGGCATGGCTGTGACCACCAGCGGGGACAGTAGCAGGTCTTGAAGTACAGGATGGAAGAGGGATAGCTCAGTCTGACACACAGCAGGTAAGTTCTGGAAAAGGGAAGAAACAAGATCAAGGCTAAATGATTTCTGACGGCGAACGCAAACCAAGCGTGCAGGGCAGGCGCCTCCCACCAACATGGCGACTGATGGGGGAGGAAAAGGAGGCTCGCACTATAGTTTAGAGATAGACCCAAGGGATAATGACACTCAAGCATCAAAGCCAAGATTTGGGTGCAGGCGCAGCGGCTGCCGGCGAGGCTCCTGCACCCCAGGCCAGTGGTTCTGTGTTCATCCACAGACCTTAGGGAACTTCTTGCTGACTTGGAGAAAATGAGTGCACTCAGCTGGGGGGAGCAGCCCACCCTGTCTTTCAGCTGTTGTAATCATGGTGATGCCAACCCTCCCCGGCTATGGATACACTCTGTGGGAGTGAGTCTCAACCCCCAGTGTCACGGGGTCAGAACTGTCCCCACTCTGTCACCGCTGTGCATCTGGACTTTTGACAGAAATAACTGAACAGTCGACGTAGCTTGTCAACATGATCACTGCTGTCAGGGTGTGGGGGATGCTGAGGTGGGATGAAAATGCTCGGACATTCTCTCCCATCATCCACTGCAGCCCAGACAGAACCAACATGTTCGCTTTTACAGGTTCGATCCATCCTGAGGGACAGAGGATGGGGCTAAGCTGGAGTGACACCTCCTGAGACTTTCGGGGACAGGGAAGGAACAGATGTACAGCCTGGTATCCAACAGGGGCGCATCAAATGTGTTAAAGGCTCAAATTCAGTTCAGGAATCAATGAACAGCGACTCTTCTGGTCCTCTTGTGTATTATGTAAACCGCTTTAACCATTAGAACCTCAGGAATATCAGAAAGACTGAGCACTTGCTTACGGTCACACAGTGAGTACATTACAGAGTCAAGATCTGAACTCAGATCAAGTTTTCCCCACTCCACTGAGCCCCTCATTCTCCACCCAGCCCAGTGAGAGTATATATACTTCAGTGTCCGAGTTATGAGTGTGTCAGTGTCTCTCAGAAGTCTGCTCCCCCACCTCTGGTGGGGAAGGCGTGGACTCTGTTATTCACTTGTCCCAGCAGAAATACAACATCTGCTTGAATGCAGTATACAGAGGCCACGTTTCTGACCTATCATCGTAAAGTTTTGCTAAACTCACCTGCTTGGGATTCAGAGCAACCCTCTCTGGTAGCTGGTCGCTCGCTCGGGATCTGGAGTCCAGGCTCAGACCTGCTTTCCTCACACTGGCTTGAGACATGCTACCCCTCTACATGCCAGCAGAGTCCCAGTGCTCACATCTGCCCCCACGAGGCTGCCATTTCATTCATTCCTTCCCCAGCCCCACACATTTCCGGGAAGCGAGAACAGTGGGCATCACCAGGACTCACGCACACAATGCGGCAGCGGGTAGCAGATGGCCCCAAGGAAAGGTCTAACTCCCAGGTCTCCTTTCAGGACCCGAGACAGCCTCAGTCATTCATCTCTTTGCTCATGCGCAAACGTGTTCATCTAGACTGGCCGCCTTTGCCATGGCTAACTCTGAGTCATAAGCACTTACTTTGTTTTCTGCAAAACGCTCCCTATTGGTTTGACTACTCAGAAGTACTTGAAGCCCGTGGACTCGGAGACTCTGCCCTCTGGCCAACCGATGCCACAAAAGCAAGCTCTTTTACAGTCTCTAGTTGCAGGCTTGTGAGTCCATGTCCTCCCCTTCCGAAAATCAGAGAATTCACCATCCGAATCTTGGAGGCTGGAAAGCAGATGGTGAGTGAGACTATGCATTTAAGAAAGCTAGACTTGGGCCAGTGAAAGGGCTCAGTAGGTAAAAAAAAAGGCACTCTGTGTGCAAGTCTGATGGCCTGAGTTTGATCCCTAGAACCCAGACGGTTTCGGGAGTTGTCATTTATATGTGTGGCCTCACATGTATGCATGCATGAGAGTGCATGGTGCATGCGCGCATACACACTCTCTCTCTCTCTCTCTCTCTCTCTCTCTCTCTCTCTCTCTCTCCTCTCTCTTCTCCCCACCCCCCATGCTCCAAAGCTAGACTTGGCTGGCAGTGAAGCCGAGGGCCCAGTTTGTCCAAAGAATCCTCAAAGGGCTCAGAAAGTGATACTGGGAATTGGAGGCGAAGACTGAAGAACAGATGAGGTGAGAGTGGTTGGCTCAGCGAGCCCAGAGCTCTCCGGAGCTCAAGTCCATGGGCGACTGACTACTTCCCACCATGGCCGGGTAAGTCAGAGGAAGGTAACAGGTGTCATGCACCATTGAGAGAGCAGGTGAGTGTGTGCTCTGAGCGGTGACTCTCCAGCATGCAGGCAGCTAAACGCGGGCCCTCTGGGGAGGCCGCAGGAGGAAGCTTCTTTGGGGACTCTGAGGAGTGCATGTGTCAAGATGCTACATCAAGACGCTGGCCTTTGGGGCTAACCGTTGGCTGCCACACAAACTCAACAGCCCAGCATGTTGCGGTTGTTTCCTGCAATATTGCAATAGCCAGGGCCTTACCTGTGCCAGGCAAGCACTCTACCAGCCCTCGGGGTCACCAGGACAAAAATCTCTAACACACATGCTAGAGTTGAGACGTAAAAACCCAAACATTATCGATGACCTCTGAGAAGCAACAAAAGAGTTTGCATAAAGCATAAACAGCGAGATTTTTTTTTTTTTTATTTTAAACTAGGAAAACCAAGGTAGAGAGGCATGGAAGGGTGGCTGGTGTTCTATTTCCTTCAATGATAGGTTAATTTATATTGGACCAACTCTCTGGCCAATCAGATCTAGGCAAACTTAAACAAACAACAACCTAAAAGCCACCCGGAGGTAGCGGAGAGGCTGTAGCCCCAGGACAGGGCGGGACCGGCTGAGGGCTACCTCTCAACTCTGCCTTTCCTGCCAGCGATGAAACACAGAAAGCCCACTCCGGCAGAGAGCTGTGGCTTCACCGGGATGAGTCATCAGAGGTGAGAGTTCAAGGCTGTCTACACAGCTGTAAATCGGAGGAGGAGACCTTGAAAAGGAAGGGGACTCAGGGAGCACTCAGATGTTCTTACACACACCCCAAATCACAGGCTCCTTCCTGGCGCGTAAGTACAGGGCTAAGTGATTTGAGCGGGCGGGACGTGAGCAGCCCCCAGAAGACAGAATTTGGAGTTTAACTTCTGCCAGCTTACAGGGGCTGGGTCAACGGCATGGTTTTTCTACTGAAAACCCGGGGAGGCTGAGCAAATCTGACGATCTCTAATCTCGGAACCAGTGGTTTCCAAACTTCCTAATCCCGAGACCTTTTAATACAGTCCCCCAACCATAACATTATTTTAACTCTAGTTTTGCTACTGTTATGAATGGTGATGTTAAATATCTGCGTTTTCCAATGATCTTGGGTAACTCCTGTGAAAGGGTTGTTCGAGAAGGTTGAGAACCACTGTTTTAAACTAAGCCTCCACAGAATCACAGTGATCAGGGCTGGAGAGATGGCTCCGTAGTCAAAGGGCTTATCATGAACGCACGGGGACCAGATTTGGATCTCGAGAACCCACATAAAGTGCCAGGTGGCCATCGTGGCCTGCCTGTAATCCAAGCCTTGCAAGGGGGAGATGGGGATCCCCCCGAGAAAGCTGGTTAGCAAGACTAGTCCCATTGGGCCCGACTGAGCACCCCGGCCTCGGTGAGGTGGAAGAGCTGATCCTGGTTCCCAACATCAGCCTTGGCCTCCATATCACACTCACTGGCAAGCCCACACACGTGCAAGCACGCACAGACACACGCACCTCCTCTCCCTGAGACGCCAAAATGGAAAAAGGGAAAAGTAAGAGTCAAGGTGATTCCAGTTTGTCTACCTGCTAGAGCAAGACATGGCAGAGGAAACAGAAGCCGGAGGCGCCGCAGCTTGTCATTCACAGTGACTGCCATTCTGAGTATCAGAGGGGAGAAGCAGGAAAATGGAACCGACAGTCAAAAGAAAAATGTCAGCAGAAGATAAACGTGAGAGTTAGCTGTTAGAAGGAGCAGTCAGGGAATCAAACTGTCTGCCATAGATATGTTAAATAAGCTAGAGAAGAGGCTGTGATGGGCCACAACGTGGTATGCTTCTTCTTTTCTTTTTTTAAAGAGATAGGGTCTCACTCTATAACTCAAACTGGCCTTGAATTTGACATGTGCCTAGACGTGCCCTGAACTCATGATCCTCTTGTCTCAGACTCCAAGTCCTGGGATTACAGGCCTGTGCCACCACGGCTGCCCCTCGGCTGTATTTTAGAAATATAAAAGGAGGGACCCACGCCCTGGATTCCAGCACTCCAGAGGCAAAGGCAGTTGGATCTCTGTGAATTCAGGCCAGCCTCGTCTACATAGAAAGTCCAGGCCAGCCAGGGCTACACAGTGAAACCCTGTCTAAAAAAATAAAGAAATAAAGACATTAATATAAAAATACTATATGGCCAAGCAAGGTGCACACACCTTTAATGCCAGCACTCAGGAGGCAGAGGCAGGAGGTCCTCTGTGAGCTCCAGGCCAGCCAGGGCTACAGAGAGCCTGTCTTAAATTTTAATTTAATTAACTAATTAAAATGGCAATAGAATATCACTTTGTGGGATTTTTCAGATCTGTAAAGGAATGATGTACACTGGCTTTGGAGATGCCATTTGATTCATTTCATTTCAAATTTAATAAAACAAGAAAAAGCTCATTAGAAAGCACAGGCCTGTGATCACAGCACTCAGAAAAGTGCGCAGGAGGATTGCGTCTGAGGCCAACTTGGGTCGCATGGTGAGACCATCTCAAAGGAAAAAGAAAGAGAAAAAGAAAAAGAGTGCTTGGTTAGCATGCGGAAGGACATGGGTTCGACCCTGAGAATTGAAAAGAACAAACTAAAAATAGACTGCTAGCAAGAGGCTGTTTAGCTAGCATGCACGAGGTCCTGGGTTCGATTTCCAAGAATGCAAAAACAAAACAAACACCTAAAGACAATTTTCATTGCATTTTATTATTTTTAAATATTTTTATAAAATTTTCATTACATTTTATTAATATGTGTGTGTGTGTGTGTGTGTGTGTGTGTGTGTGTGTGTGTGTGTGTGTAGACATGTGCGTACCACAGTGCACGTGGAGGTCAGAGGGCACTTGCAGGAGTCGGTTCTCTCCTTTCACCATGAGGGTCCCCGGGGTCAAACTCAGGTCACAGGCTTGGTGGCAGTGCCTTTACCTGCTTAGCCATCGTTCCGGCCCTAAAAACAATTTTTTAAAAAAGAGATGAAAAAAGAAAGAAAAGTGATGTGGCCATACTGATATTAGAAGAAGCAGACTACTAGACAAGAAGCATTAACAGTGATAAAGGAGGTCTCCTCATAGTGATAAAATGTTAAAAAAAAGACATAAAAATAATATATGCATATACACATACATGCCCCAACAGAATTTAAAAAAATACACGAAACAAACACCGACACACTAATGGGAAAACAGACAAATCGGATTAGAAAGTTAAGCTGAGACAGTTCTCCAGACACTAGAGGAGGCCCAGGCATGCACATGTCAGAGATAATCTTTTTGATTGTGTTAACTGAGGTGAGATCTGCCCACTGTGGGTGGCACCATTCCCTAGGTGAGATCTGCCCACCGTGGGTGGCACCCACCACTCCCTAGGTGAGATCTGCCCACCGTGGGTGGCACCCACCATTCCCTAGGTGAGATCTGCCCACCGTGGGTGGCACCCACCACTCCCTAGGTGAGATCTGCCCACTGTGGGTGGCACCCACCATTCCCTAGGTGAGATCTGCCCATTGTGGGTGGCACCATTCCCTAGGTGAGATCTGCCCACTGTGGGTGGCACCATTCCCTAGGTGAAATCTGCCCACTGTGGGTGGCACCCACCATTCCCTAGGTGAGATCTGCCCACCGTGGGTGGCACTGTTCCCTGGTCGGGATCCTAGATTGGAGAAAGGAGACTGAGCAGGTGCATGCATTCACTCTGTCTTCTTCCTGACTCTAGATCTGACGTGACCAGCTGCTTCAAGCTCTTGCTGCTTCCTCCTCCTCACCACGGGGACTGTACCCTGGAACTGTGAGCCAAATAAACCTTTTCTCCCTTAAGGTTTTTTTGCTTTTTTCTTTTTGGTCAGGTACTTTACTGAAGCAACAGAAACAGAGACTAAGGCAGAGGGCACTCCCCATTTCCTTGCTGGAGCCTGGGAGATCTCTGAGCCTGGGAGATCTCTGAGCCCGGGAGCCTTTGCACATTGGTTTCCGGGATAGGTCTTTACTTACCAAGGCATCTAAATTCCATACTGAGAGGTTGAAGAATAGCTCACAAATACTGCTCTGTGACAGACCCTGGTTGAGTTCCCAGCACCCACACAGAGGCTCACCCATCAGTAACTCCAGTCCCAAGGGAATTTGTCACCTTCTTCTGGCCTCCCTGGGAAACAGGTACACATGTGGTGTCCATACGCACACGCAAGTAAAACAGTCATAAACGTAAAAAATAAAAATAAACAAGCTGGGCACAGTGGTGCAAACCTTTAATCCCAGCACTTGGAAGGCAGGCATGAGTGGATCTCTGAGTTTGAAGCCAGCCTGGTCTATATATCAAATTCCAGGATGACCAAGGCTACATAAAGAGACCCTGTCTTAAAACAATAACAACAACAAAAACAACAAAAACCAAAACAAACAAAATCTTTTAAAAACCAAAACTGATCCAGTACTGCTACCCAGCGGGCTCCTCAGACATTTGTGCCTGGTCACTGATGGCGA